TTAGGAGTATGACATTCCAGTTAGAGAGATCTATAAAACAGCTTATGGAAACCTATCCACTTTCTACTTTTAAGGTTAGGTTTTTTCCTTCTCAGTTTACATAAATCAAATGAACTTGACAAGAGAAGTCCTAGCTCAAATTTTTATTAGATCAGCAATTAAGTTATTTGTGCTGACTATACTTCATGAACGACTGTAGATTTACTTGGTATATCTTACAGACATTATTATAACTTTATCCAAAAGTAATGTTCATTAATTATATTCCACAGAAGATGTCAAAGAAATAATATAACATTTGTATTAAGACATAAAAGGCCTTTAATAACATGAATAAAATAACTATATTTTTTAAAAAACAAGGAAATAAATATAAACTAATTACAAAATTAGTTTAATAGTACTTTTATAATAAGAAAAAAAAAAAAGGTTTAGTATACTTTGCTTAAATATAATGTTGTTTAGCTTTCCAACAATATAGCAAACCAGGAGCGAACTCAAGTATCACTAATTCTAAGCCAAAATTAACATCTCCTTCCTAGTAATCTAAGGTAGTAATGAAATAAAAATAAATAATACATTTATTATTCTCATTAACTTATTAATTTTTTTTATTTATCAAATCTATTAAATATGAGGAGACGGAAGAGTTTATTTCCATTTCATACTCATTTCCCTGCCGTCATATTCTTGTAGGCGAGCTATAGTACCTCTTGATAATGTTGCGAGAGATGATACTCATTTCAACATACTTAGTTACTTTAGAATTACTTAAAGTCCTGCAACAATCTCAGAATCTAAACCAAAAATGAACAATAGGGACTTTTTTTTTTCTTTTTTTCTCCCCACTATTATCACCCTCAGAATCCAAGTTAAGTATGCAAATAGAATGGAATAAATATGAACTCAAAATAGCATTTCAAGCACCAAAATAGGAAATAAAGTTTTGGAAAAAACAGTTTGACTTTTTGAGTTCAAGTAACTAATATTAATCATAATATACAGCATTTGTAAAATCCTTCTTATTTTAAAAATAAAGGTCCTTTGGTAAGTTTTAATAAAAACCAGATAAATTTAACATTAATACAAACGTAATAATTAACAACTTAAAATTAGATTGAATAACTTATGACCATTGCATGGCTATTTCTCAATTTCATTGAGTAAATTAAATATAATCCTGAAAACAGTTACACACCAAATGAATTTATCTTTTTTGAGCAAACAATAAAATAATGACATAAATACATGATTTGTTCATTAATTCATCATAATAATTTTAAGCTCCTGCAATCTTAATACAACAGATATATTTTCTCAATTGCTCAATATACAAGAAGGGAAATATTAGATTTCATAACCATAATGGACATTGACTAGGTAATTAATGGAAGATGAAATGGAGGTATGATGTGCCACTGAGTCATGACACTTATTGTCTTATACAGACAGTCAACACATCTTAATGGAGGAGAAATGAATGTTACATCTAAGATTGAATTTCAAGAGGTTCAATGAATGCATTTAGAATCAAGTTCTTTATGCAATAATTTTTTTTTTAAATTTTGCTGAGCAATTATAAAATATATGAATTTGGTTTTTAAAATTAATTGTATATGTATGTAAACATAACTATAAGATTTTTAAGAAAAACTAGGGGATAAACCTCTGTCTACCCAAGGCAGACCAACCCCCATTTTATAAATTATACAACTGTTCATTTAATTGTACTACTTACTCATTGCTAAAATTGTATAACTGTAATTTATATGTATTCTGTAGTTTATATTGTATTATTTTTTATCAATATATAATAAACAGAACAAAATGGATAGACAGAATATTTGTTTGTAAAAGTGTTCATTGTGTTGTCTGCTTTTATTGTGAATATAGTGTGTGATTATAATGTTTGTCTATATTCCTTGATTAGTGTCAAATTTGTAGGAAATAAGAAGTGTGATGTCTTCGTTAAAGTTCGACCCACTTTGTATACATAAAATAAAATATGACAGTCACTAAAAACTTTTTTATATAATAAAGAGAAATAAACTGGCAAAAAAATTAAAATTAAATAATTCCAAGCACTATTAAAGATATTGAAAAATTCAAAATACATAACCCCCTTTTCATTTAACTTCACATAATAGTAAGAAATTTATGGTTTGTTACTCTGTTATTTCTATTAATACCTATAAGTTTACAGGTCAAGATATGCTGCAGTGAAAACAACCTCATCTTTTGTTTGTTAAAGATCTTCTAGATTGAATAATTTAGTTCTGATAGTAGCATTAATGCTGGAAATATTCCATTTTGTAAACAAGTTTTTTTATTTATTTAACACTAATCAAGCAGGGTTTAACTTTTTATGAAAATGAAATCAGCTGACATAATGTCTAGGGAAACTAGACTAGATTCAGAATTAAGATTAAATACACTAATAGCCCATTTGCTGATTGTTAGGCATTTTAGATTAAAATATGAAATGTTAATAAAAAACAAATGTTAAGTATAATTCACAGAAAAAAATTAATTGCATTAGGCTTACATAATAATTTGTATCCAAATGGAATGGTTATGCAATTAAATGAGGTTTATTAAAAAATATATGTTTTTATTTAATAACTTATGAAATTTTCAACACAGAATTTCCTTTTCAAATAAATGGATGTATAGTTTATAATAACTGCAGTAAAATCATATTAAACATTAAATAATGAAAATAAATGTTGAAAAAGGCAATATTTGACACTTAATACGCAAAATAAGGCAAGTGATTTAGATAAATAAAAGTAATAACAAAAAAACTTTAACCTTCATCAAAACCAAACTAATTATAATTAAACATAGTAAATAGAATAGAATGAGAGACTGGGGAAAAAAATTATGTTTGAAAATACTTAAAAATAAAATCACAAATTTTAAATTTTATGATGTGCACACACACACATATACACATCTATAGAATAAAAAGTTGGTTTACATAAATTATAGAATTAATTACGAATGTTTCACTGAACAAAAGTTTTATGATCAATTATCGAACATCTTAAAAGTTGCACTAAACTTACTAATATTTTTTTAGTTTTTAGAAATTATTATTCAGAAGTGTTAGGATTTAAAACCATTACATTTTATTCGACACAACAGTTAATTATATAAATATCAATGTTTTCAAAAATAAAAATTATAGTTACAAAGTAAGTAATTATATTGTATCTTATCTGATTTTCAACTAAGTAGTTATGATAGCATTGAAAGAGTTAATTAAACTGTTAAAAATACATTATGGGAAAGTAAATAGAATATGATATCTTGAAAAAATGTTTAGAAGTACTAATAATCAAAATTCAGAAGCCAGTAAGAGTTAAATTTCACCAAATATGACATGATAACATGCCTATTTCTACAGAATAACACTTCAGGTAAAACGGGAAAGCTGTATAAAGAACAATTAAGCTGACAGAAAAAATATTTCTGAGTTCAATAATTTTAAAAATAAACCAACTAAAACAGTGCACAAATGAAAAATAATTGTAAGATAATGTGGGGTAAGTGAATAACTGCCAGGTCAAAATTAAATCCTGGACAGATTTCAGCTGCTCTGAACAGATCATGAATTCTAAACACAAATCATCCATAAGTACTCTTAAAAGGTGGAATATAATGAGTCGTACATAAATCAGTTCCAACCTTTTGATTAAGTTTGATCTTTCAATTTCAACTGTACAGTTCAAGATCTGTTCGATATTTATTTTATTTTTGTGGTAAGTAAAATCTTCAGAGGCTGTTATTTGAAATAGATTTTTCTATAGACAGTTTTCTAATTTATTTATCATGATTACACAAATGTGCCAGCAAAACAAGACAGTAGGAGTAAGGGTAGATCTCTATTGTAGGACAAGTGTGTATGTTGAACTTACCCTATCATGTTTCACATTTTTACTTCAGTAAAATAATCCTTATTAATCAAGGGGCAGTTACTAATTTCCTTATGTTTATGCACTGGGATGTTGTTACCACAAAAAAAAAAAAAAATAAAATAAACAAAAGAAAGTATTGTTCATGTCCTTGTGCATAATGAATAACAATTTAATTATAAATTAAAAATGTATACGAGGGATAAAATATCGTTATAAGAAATCTAAAATCTAAAGTGAAGGTAATTTTGGGTATTGTATTTCATTGTTATATGATTTATAATATAAGATATGGATATATGGGCCATATAACTATTTCTAAGAAATGTAGAATGCAATGTTACCAGCATTAAAAAAAAAATTACAGAAAAACATCTATAAAATTTATGACAATAAATGACTATTTTCAAAGAACACAATTATGTTTCAAATTAATGATTAGATATTTAAAATATATTTTATTAAAAACTCATTGACCAGCAATAAGCCAAGTAAAAAAGTTATCGCACCTAGTTATAGAATACGTAGTAGAGGTTATTTTCAAGCAGAAACAAGATGTCATGTTTAGGGATCCCTACTGCATGAATAAATGAGACTTTCAGATATATCTTGTATATACTTACTTATTAAGAGAAGGGAAAATTTGCATGACTACTAAATTTAATTATAAATTTCATGGATCGGAATATAGGATCAAGTGTAAAATTTAAAACATCATCTAATAACCATCATACAAAAGAAGAAGAAAATAAAGATATTGCAGTTATTTAAAGTTAGACATTCTAAAATCTAGCACTCACTTACCCCATATTACTTTACTGACTGATAACATTAATCAAAGGTACTATGGCAGCTATGAGTTTGAGAATATCTCATAGAAAATTATAAATAATAAAAATTACAATTAATTTAAAATTTACATTGTAACAATGCAAACAAAATGTTTTGTCAACCAAATGAATGAAATACGATTATTTTCCCATTATAAAGAAAAAGTCATCCTGAATTATGATTTGGACTATTTAAAAGAAACAAATTCAATTTGAATTTAATCAATAATATAAGAGAAATAAACTTTTAATGGAAACATTTGAACATTAACTGTTGAGCAAACATATTTATTGAATCCAGTCCTTGTTATAAAGTAATTTTCATTAAATAAATAACTTTCATAGCATAGCAATATGCAATTTAATTAGTAATTTATCGAACTTTCACCTCCTTTCATTTCAATGAATCTTTCCAGCTTCAATCTTCATAGTAATGCCAAAATTATTTTCATTACATTTTATGACCTAATTTTCCCATATTCAATATTTCAGTAAATCACAAGGTTCACTGATACAGTGATTTTAATTTAAAATGATATGGGTATTAATTCCTTATTCCATATAATACCTGATAGTAGTTATCAAGTATACATAAAAAATGGCATTTATATGATTAAAAAGGCAGGAGTTTTGATTGCTGTATCAGTCACATTGTTGAATTTAAATATATTCCTTTTAAAGCTCCGAATAGTAGAAGTTGAGGGACACATTTTCCGAATGTTTCAAACAAGAGTTCGATTTCTAGACTTGAGTGATTAAGATTCAACAGAATTCATCTTGTCTTAATCAAGCTCTGATTCAGTCACTTGCCTACAGTCACTTTTTGGTTGGTCTCCTCCACCCACTTCAGTTTCAGTTTCACTCGAGCTATCTCCAAGTCCATTTAATATTGATTGAAACAGGTTTCCTAAATCAACAAAATATAAGATTAGATAGTTAAAAAAAAATAACACTATCACTTACAAGAAATTGATTTTTTAAAAAGTTAATTAACCTTAAGAATATTTAAGAATATCTAATTATAAATATAAATTCCAGACAATTAATACAATCATAATAAATTAAGACATGGGATTAATATATTGCCACAGAGATGGGGAAAATGTATAGATATGGATGAACAATAAATTTACTGTGAAATAAGGCTTCATAAGCTTACCACAATATATATAGAAAGAATTTTGTTTTAGCAGAAAACCCAACATGTTAACTCTTAAATATTTGTTATAATTTCAAGAATGTATAAATAATATAATTAATTATTAGACATATTAACATTATACTAGCAACACTTCATAAGTGCTTCTGACATAATTTTTCAGGACACGAAAAACTTCAACCTCTCTACAGCATTCTACACTTACAGATTATTACAAGTGATCACAGACAAATGATAACACTGATAATATAAAAATGAGGCACTCTATTAGATCTCAAACCTTCTGTTTAGTTATAAAGATGCAAAACTTCAGTCCAGATAATTTAACAAGCTATTTTAAAACTTAAATATTGATATCCTTAATTTTTTTAATTTTTTAGGGTTTCCACATATTTTTGGTATTCTGTAAAAAAGAAGAATTCAACTAATTGATGATGTGAAAAAATACCAAAAACACCACTTTCTAAAATGTTTTGTCAAATATGCTTTCCTGAAAACAAGTGAATTGTTGCGATCACCCTTTTTACAGAACAACAATCATAAATGAACATGAAATATAACAGATGACCTACCAAATAGAGATCTAGGCTGCCTCCTGGACGTTGGAAGACCGAAAAATATCTGGCCAATTTTTTCTAAATAGTCAAGGTAAGACGGATCTCTCTTTAAGGATAGTGCATATTCTTCACATAGTATTGTAAAGGCACTGAGAGCACCACTAAAATAGAAATTCGCACAATTACAAATTAGGAAAATAGAAAAAAATTTGTAACAAAGTTTGAGGAAAATAATACATAAGCATATCATAATCTTGAAGGAAAAGACGGTGAGTTACCTTTCGACAGCTTTCAGAAGAAATGAAATAAAATTTAACAAAGGTAGAAGGTAAGGGGGACCTTCAATGTATGGATGTTCTGTAGTGTAACATTCAAAAGTAATGACAGCCATAGCCTTGTTCCGCAAACAGAGACATCTATTAGACAGAACAGAATTTTTAACATTAAAAATTAAAATGTTGAGTTAATTACATAAACAATTTTATGATTTATATGAATTAGCACTTCTAGCTTATTCTAATATGGGTTTTTCTTGTTGTTTTTTTTTAATCACACACGTACAATATTAACTTAAGGTAAATAACTGTAAAGAAAAGATTGAAAAATAATCCATTAAAGGGATCCTTTTTGTTATCACAAAGTATTGAAAGCAGCAATAAATATAAAATCAGCTTATTTAATACAATACCTGCAGTACAATAACTGATCTTTCATAGATAAACAAATCATGCAATAAATGTAGTAGCAGCCTTGTGTGTGTTTGAGTGATTTACTAGTTTAATATATTTTTAAATTTTACGTACAATAAAAAATTTAAAAGCATACATATGTAGGTAGGTGGGTATCTCAAAACCTGCATAACCGTTCAGAATTGCAGATAATATGTAGATTGTCTGTCCCGTGTTATCAATAGAAAATTTATATATATGTGTACATAATTGAATAAAGGCTTATTAATTTTAATACTGACTTGAAAATGGGGAGAGCATAATTAAATGAAACTAAATATATAATGTAATTAAAACATAGATTAATTACTAAAATAAAGCTAAATAAATATTTTATACAAGGTCATGGTAGGAAGTGTACTCACTGTAAAACAACTTGAACAATAAAAAGGTCAACTTCACTGGAATAACCACTAGATTGATGTACTTCAACTAACATTGAGCCAAAGCCAGAACCATCACAAGACCTCAAAAAATGCCTTCTTGCAAGTGTGTAATTTTTCTCTGTGAAAAAAATTAAATATAAAATCATAATAGTTTGGAACTGTAATCATGAAGAGAATCAGTATTAATATAAATCAATCAATATTATTATTTAACGGGTAAGGTGCATAATTTATTTTGTAGTAATAAATTGCATGATTATTAGCAATTTTCAAAAGAAAAACAAAACAGTGAACACACTGCCCCAAAATGACGTCCAAAGATGGTGGATTGACGACTTTGACTTGAGTTAGTTTTTTTATCACTGAGAATCAGCATTTGGCATTTGGCTTAATTTCATCATAATTGGCCTTTTATTAAACCTGAATAGTCAGAGAATAATAAAACATGAAACAATATAAAAAAATAATTGGTTTAGGCAACAAAAAACACCAGTAAATTCAATTTTTGCAACAAAAATTTCAAGTTGAAAATCAAGCGTCGTTGGTAATTAAACGGCCAACAATAATGGAAAAAATTCTGAAATAAAACATCTGGAGAATGAAAATTTCTCTTTCTAAAACACTGATAACTTTTTAAAATATTTTAAGTGGTTTTGTAGAAAATGCACTTGGTTTTGTAGAAAATGGCTGAAAAGTGGTACTGGGATAGGTCCTACAGGCCTCTGTCACATCATTCAGTACTCATAAATGGCATGGTGTTATAATAACGTTTTCGGTACATTATCTTGATTGTATTAATGAACAAATTTTAATTCAACATTTAATTGTCCAAAAAAATTAAACGATTTTGTAATTTATTTTTCTTATAATTTAAAAAAAATAAATATTATTCCTTTCTTCTATACGGAGATCATTTAAGAATGCTTCTATCATAAAAATGATATTATTATAATAATAAAACTTATTCAAAAATACTTCACTGAATATATGTAATTTTGTATTTAAAGTTTGTAATTTAACAATTTGAGGAACGAGGAAAGAATGGCCAAAATCTAGGAAATGAAAACAAGTTCCAGTATCCATTATATGGCTAAACGAATATATAGTAGACAGATAACAGAATATTTCAAGAAGCTACTAAAAGGGGCCAAATGCAGGTGCAGTTTGGATGATATTAAGGGGATGATGGAAGTTTATTATGGTAAAGATCATTTTATCAGCAAGAAAGATTATTTCAAAGTAACTGGCAAATCATAAGGTGTGATCGAAGTAACCCAAAATGCTGTGTGTGCATAGGCAACAAATGTGAAGATATATTTCTCCACTTTTTCAATGGATATTGATTAATATGCCATAAGAAAATGATTTGATAGGAATGTAGTTTTGTCATTCATTACTGTTCAGTATGCTAAAGAAGTTCTACTCAAGAATTGTAGAAGCTAGAATAAGAAACACAAGTTTCACATTGGAAATATCTTCACTTTAAGTAAGATTATAGATTAGTCCATCGAGAAAGAGAAATAACACTCTGCTTAGTGCCTCACATTTTGGATTGTGCAAATATCTACTTACCTTCAGAATAGCTTGTTTTATGTTTTCCTTTCTGATTACTTCAAAGATCTTGTCCAAATTCACTAAACAGAAGTGGAGCTACTTCTTGATGGACCTCTTTATTATAACGTGTTTCAAAGTGAAGATAGTTATAATGTGCAACTTCTAAAGTAGCAATTGAAAATAAAATGGTCTTCACCATTTTTTATATTCGGCCACCTTAATATATCATCCAAACTGCCCCAGCATTTGATCCCCACCCCCTTAAAATATTCTGTTCATCTATCTACTATATATTCGTTTAGTCATGTAATGGATACTGATCCTTGTTTTCTTTTCCGGATTTTGGCCATTCCTTCCTAGTTCGCTCAATGTATTTTTCCAATTTTTGGGTTCAATTTCGCGTTTTTCCTCATTTTAATACCAAATGCCAAAAATTAGTTCCGGTTACCAAGAAGAACATACAGCTTCACCCTTTCCATATTTCTCTGTGCAGAGAGAATAAAGCATTCAATATTAAAATTTCATAGTTTTTTAAATGGCCCAACCTCCGAACAAAATAAATGAAATAAAAAAATGAAATCAATTTTTTTTATTAATGATATATAAGTTTTATGAAACAACATGGCAACTATTCATTATATGTATTTCAGATTAATTATATTTTAAAGGAAGGAGATGGTCCAGGGTTGCGGTCATAAATAGGCTAAATAGTGGTAAAACTATTTAGCCTATTTATGACCGCAACCCCAGACCATCTCCTTCCTTTATAATGCAACGGTCAACTATTAAATATTCAATAATTATATTGTAATTTATAAAACAGATATTAATATGACTCATTTGTGGAAAAGTAAATACAATTTAACTTACCTCTAAGAGTTAGTGTTAAAAACAAAGTGTTAAATTGCAAACGTTAAATAAAAAATTTAAGATATCCAGCGAAGTATTTTTGAATTAAGTTTTATTATTATAATTATATCATTTTTATAATAGAAATATTCTTAAACAATCTCCGTATAGAATAAAGGAAGTAATATTAAAAACAAACAATAAAATTTTTTTATTTTGGACAATTAAATTATTGAATTAATATTTGTTCCTTAATACAATCGATATAATGTACCAAAAATATTATTACAGCACTATAACTATGCCATTTATGAGTATTGAATGATGTGGCAGAGGTCTGTAAGCACCTACACCAGTACTGTTTTTCCACCAATTAAGTGCATTTTCTACAAAACCATTTCAAATATTTTAAAAAGTTTTAGAAAGAAAAATATATTCTCCAGATGTTTTATCCATTATTATTGGCTGTTTAAGTACAAATGATGCTTGATTTTCAACTTGAAATTTTTGTTGCAAAAATTGACTTTACTGGTGTTTTTTTTATAGCCTAAACCAATTATTTTTTTATACTGTTTCATATTTTATTATTCTCTGACTATTCAGCTTTAATAAAAGGCCAATCATGATGAAATTAAGCCAAATGCTGATTCTCAGTGATAAAAAAACTAACTCAAGTCAAAATCGCCAATCCGCCATCTTTGGGGTAGTGCGTTCACTTTTTTTGGGAACATTGATTTTTTTTTCATAAATAGTTACAAGGAACACAACGATATGCAATTATAAAGATGTGGGGAGGAAACACGGTAGTGGGGGGTTTGGGCCACAGACTATGTCTATGATTTTTACTTCCACTTACCCTTTGCCTGAAAATATTTATTTATTCTAAGAAGAGGGTGATGGTAAGTCATGTGAGGCGTGCACCAGAGTTTTTAACTATATGTCAACAATATACTTAAAGAAAATTAATTAGACTAATGTATGAATATTTCTAACCAAAAATGAATTTAATAACAAAGAATTGTTTTCTTCATTGAATTGGTATTTTTAGTAACATGCTCAGACTCTATGGCGAGTTTATTAACACACCGAACATCTCTATTTCCTGATTATATAGTTATAACTTACTTCATATTGTCTTCAAGAATACTTTCCTCCCTAAATTAACATATGCAAGTGAGTCTTGGACCCTCACTTTCAAGCACAAAAGCCAAATCCAAGCTATGGAAATGCAATATTTAAGGAAAATAGAGGGAAAAACAAGAAGAGATCACGTTAGGAATATGACCATACAAGATAATCTGGACCTGAGGCCTGCAGAGGAAATAATCCAAGAAAATCAACTTAGCTGGTTTGGACATGTCTCGCGATTGGCTGAAAACAGAGTTGCCAGGGCTACCTACGAGGTCAAAGTGGAGGGAAGGCGGCCACAGGGAAGACCAAGAAAAACATAAGAAGGAATTAAAGAAGCTTTGACAGGAGAGGAATGGACTGGAGTAGGAGAAGACAGCTGGCCCAGGATAGAGATTCATGGATCAAGCTCTATAACAAGGAACCTCACACTGCTCAGCGGTAACAGAGGACTGGATTAAGTAAGTAAGTAAGTAACTTACTTCATCTACTCTTGTACAAACCAAATTCAGGTGAATACACTTTGATCAATTTCTGAAAAATGATTTCGAATTAGACTATCATTAGGCTGTGAGATTCTGAACAATTTACTCACAACATTCTCAATGACCAATTTTTTTTAAGAATTGAGAGAGGGAGCTACTGCAGATTACAGCAGAAATGAATATATGGAATTAAGAAATGGATTGTTACCATCTGAAATAAACCATAGTTAGATTAAAATAGAATTTGATTTCTCATGAATTCAAGATAACAATTTGCAAATCTTAAAAACATAAATTAAAATAACAAAATCCAGAAAAATGACTACAAGCAAAATTATCTTAATCAAATAACTTCAAGATTGATGAAATAAAAAATACTGTTTTATTAAGCAAATGTCATTTATGTGCAAACCTAGATTATTTTTTTAGTTTTCATGTTATTAGAAATGACAAGCAGAAAAATTATGACATCAATCTTCTTTTTAATATTTTGTTCACTTACTATCAAGTACTGATAGAAAATATATTTAGAAAAAAAGAAATACAAATTCCTAAAGGCTAAATGTTTTTTAAAGCATAATTCCGGATTTCTAAGGACACTGGATGCATTGGGTGAAGATACTCTTGGTAAACCACAGTGCTTTGAGTTGTTAAAAAAAATTCAAATTTGGAGATTTTTATGTGAGAAATAAAGTACGAGAAACATAAGCTAAAGATACACTTATTGAGCTCTATGGACAAAAAAATGATCATTCAATGGAGTATTGAGCATGCATGAAAATTGTCCAGAAAATCAACCGGATTTTGTTCCATGATAATACCTCAGGCACAGAAAATCACTGAAGGAAACAATTGAGGCGTTCAGTTGGGAAACATTAGCGTATATATCTTACTTAATAACCAGACTCTGTACTCTTCGGCTACTATTTATTTGCACCGATGGAGCAAGCACTTAATTGGGAGTGCTTCAATTCTTATAAAAATGTACAAAACTTCATGACTTGTTCGCCATAAAAGAGCAACAGTTTTTCTAGCATGCATTCATAAATTTTCAGAGATGAGAAATATGTAGAGCTATCAATGATTTTTATATTTATAGTTTGAAAAAAAAAAAAATTTCAACGTTCTTATGAAAAAATGTTTATTGTCTTTACAAAAATTCTGGTTACAAATATATAGTTATTATAAAAATTTATTTCTGGTATTTCTTTGATGTTACAACTGCAGTAACTATACCAAAAAAACTTTTGATGGATAAGTTAAGAACTGAGGGATTGAAAAATAAATATGCATATTACTGATATGACCATCATCCAAAAAATCTAGCTGTGATAATCACCAAGAGTATAAATGATCAAGGATCAATGGATTCATATACTATCAGAGGCAAATAAGCTAAAGAAACTATATGAGGGAATCAAAACTCCAGCAGGAAAGGATGATATAAGATACTGTTTAGAGAAGCATTTTTTGGAATTATAACTTCCTGGAAGGTAATCATTCATGGTGGTTAATTTGAAAGATTCCTCCTAATTAGTATCTTAAATAAATTATAGAGAATATATCACGGTACTAGTTCACAAGAGTTCCGCACGGATTACGTGTGGTTCACAATCACTTTGATCACACTTGTTCATGGAATCCCGAAAACAGCCGAATGTTGTCGTCTTTTATGACGTCAGCTATTGTCCCTCTTAATGCATTTTTGAAAGAAAAAAAAAGTATTCCCTTCGTGGAACTTCCTTATTAAAAATGTATTAAGAAATTGTGTATTTACTTAATTAGTTAATTATTAATTTGCATTATAACGGTCATTAGTGTGAAAGAAAAAGAAAACACATATAAAATAATGTTTGAGTCTTTCTTCAAGGCCTGTAAAACAAAAATGCTTTTAGAAATAAAATTTTTATTGACACATGCTTACATGTAGTGGCTATAAATACGCATATACTACTATATATTATCTACTATAAATTGTATAAAAGAGTTTTTTATCATTTGGATAATAAATAATCCGAATGGCTATTATTGTAGTCATTCATAAAATAAAAAAAATGTGTATATTTTAGAGCAAGGAATTAACGTATTGAGGAAAGAACAGAAGAAGAATATCTGATAATTCCGAGATAATGAATAATGGAAATCATAAATAAGACAAATATTGTGAAATAGCATTCAGAGATGTTATAATTAAATGTTTTTATCTATTAATATTCCTTTTTCACATATATATAATATATGAGCATGTTCGATTCAGATTTCATAATGTGTAGTCTAAATTTCAAATTGAAGTCAATACCTTAAATAACGTTAATATAACTGAACATGGTCAAGGTTATAGAAGTACTTAAATAGCGGGAAAGTTAATCGTAACTAATTCAAGAGATCGGTCGCCTTCGTTCTCTGTCGGATAAACCCGAAGGCATTCGGGGTTCCATGAACAAGTGTGACCGAAGTGATTGTGAACCATGCGGAACTCTTGTGAACTAGTACCCATATCACTTTAAGAAATTTTTTTTAAATGAGGTAAACATATCATTTATCATAATTGAATAAAAAAAAAAAATGTTTACCTTTCCAAAAAACCTGAGCAATCATTTGATGTAATTTTGGATGTCCCAATTTATGCTCTGGCGTGGATGACCATCGTACAGCCGAATATAAAAAGTTTTCTCGCTCAGGTAAATCTGGGTTTAATATACTGAGAAGACTGTAAAAAACTGTGAGTTTACAGTAGAAAAGACTGAAAGAATAAAGTATACAGGTCATATAAATATCTTACCTAGAAATTTTAGCCATTACTTCTTCACTTTGTTTAGTGTCCGATTTCACTAAAACTTCTATGTAAAGATTAGCCAAATCTGCACCACTAGTATCCTGCAATAAACTCGTGAAATAAATATTACTATAACATTATTTTAAAACATATAAACACTAATATAACATCTCAAAACCTGTTTGTGTTGTATAAGCAGATTAGCTCCATCATACAATAAGTCTAAGAGTTCACTGTATCTCTTTTGCGTTAAATACCTAGAAAAACGAACTAATTTTACAAGAAAATCGTTATTTATATAAAAATAAATGTGAGAGTGTAATATATCTAAACAAACGAGTAGGCTTATTTGACATATAAATTAAATTTGACGCGAGACCAACCTGAAATAAAGTGTTTTATACATTTGATGTGCTTCATAGAAATTTTCGTTTTTGATAGCATTATCAATTTTGACTAATACTCTTTGAATCCCGTGAACCTTTCTCGAAGCCATACCTTCAGCCATTGTTAATATTGTCAGTGTAGCCTCATGCTGCTTAACATAGATAAAGTATTAATCCATTTTAATGAGTAACCACAAGTAATAAACTCAATATAATGAATGAAAAAGTTCTTATCATCATAAAAAAATATTAATACCATAATTTTTCAAAATAACTAATAATTAAAAAAAAAGTGCAAAATGTCCTGTTGGTTAAATGTATTGTTTCTCAGACGAAAAAATTATTTCGAAAATAAGTTTTAATAATTCAACAAATATAAACCAAAAAATAAATTAATAAAACCGTAACAACAATGTCAAACATATTAATTTTAATAGAAGGGATTCAATTTCAAACAATACTGGAAGTGTATACTTGGTATTATTATTTAAAAAAAATAAAATAGGTAATTTAAATTTATTTAAATAAGTGCAGTTTCACCCTGGGCCCACACTACAGGCAAATCGAGGCAAATTCCCGCATTTTGCCTCAGTTTTATGGGAATTTGCCCGAGTTTGCTAGCGCCACTGTCGTAGAGAACAAAGGAAAGGGCGAGAGTGGGAGAAGGTGGTGGGGATATTTTGACCAGCTGGTGGAAGGTAATGGGCTGTTTACCCCGGTTTGTTGCATATCCATCCGAAATGGAAAACTTAGGCAAAATCCAAGCAAGTTTTGCATTATGGCCGTTGCGCTACGCTAGTGATGCATTGAATAGCCACTGTGATTGGCTGACACAGAAACTTCCATTTTCCGCTTTTTTTTGCAATATCCGGAATAAAACAAAATTAGTGCGCACAACATACAACTTTCACTTACCTTTCTACTTTGAATAGAAATTATTTTCTGAAATGTTGAGCAATTATAAAAATTTTTAAGTGCACTTTTAACGGATCTATAGCTTAAAGGTCTACAGCTAACTAATCATTATCATCCCTAAAATAACAGAAACCCTATTAATTATATCAACGGTAGATAATAAAAACCTCCCTACCCCATCTTTTTTCGTAAACCATATAACTCCGGTCTCTGAGCAATATACATATGTCTAGAGAGATTTTCAAGTATATCTCTATATTTAACCTATAAATTATTATGGATTCTACGCCTATTAGTTATTAAACTGTTACTTTCCATTGTAAAGTTTACTACAAAGAAATTACGAGATTTTCATAGCCTGTCATAGATAGCTCAAAAGTTGTTACACTAATTTAACAAAGGGAAAATTCATCAAATTACTCACTAATTTAATTTTTTTAAATGTTATACGACGATCAACGGACGTTGATACCTAATTATTTAAATATAATATCAGATTTAGAATTATTAAACTACAGTAAATGTATTTAAGGTTATAAACATAGGCTTTATACATCCATTTAATATTTTTATATTTCACTTCTTTCACATTAGTACTATGAAATAGTTTTTTAACAATAACATTGCGTTGATTAGGTGAATTTTAAATACTTTTTCAAACTTAAAAACAATTTAAATTTAGTTAGTAAATTTCATTTATTTAATTTCCTTGAAAAAATGTGATTTCCGTTAAATAATATTAGTTTACACAAATTATTATTTATAATAATCTCTCTCCATTACATTCTATATTTCATATTGTTTTTTTCTAAAATTATCCGTTTTCCAATGATATAACTTCTGACAAGTATTGCCGGTAATTCATTTTCATCCTCAATACACATTTTCCCTTTTTTCTCCATTTTTCAATTATCAAATTCTTTCAAAAGTTATATTTAGCATTTTTTCGTAATTCTTAATAATGAGAGATGGTTAATTATTAAAAATTAATCAAATTAAAGGTACTTTAGAGGATGAAATGTTGAACATTTAGGCATTTAAGCTATGTAAAGTGACATTAATGGGGATAAGACCTCAATGATATTAAAGACCACTTAATTATACAATAATACACGAGTTTAATCAAAATTTTCTGTGCAACCAGCTTTCTGTCTTTCAGTAATAACAAACAAATCATTATAAACTACAAAAATTAAATGAAGATATTATTTGCCATTAAATGAATTATGGAAGTTTGTTATCGGAAGGGTTCATATAAATAAAATTAAATAAGATATAATGAAATATAACATATATTTTTGAACATTTTTACATAATATATTTTAAATAACAAAACTTTTAATCCATTACTTGTTTTTCCCATTTGTCATTACTTATATATATTTATTTGATTTATTATATTTCCATATATTTGCTATTTGTACTTATCATCTTTTTGAGTGTCAGGTATATATATCATAACCTTTCGTACTTATTCATTACCTTTTATTATCATAAACTAAGTTTTTGTTAATTCATCTAATTACATTTTATTATTCATATCTAATTATTCCATTTTATGTTTCTTCTTCATTTAATACTACTCTTCATTGTTTATTTCCGTTTTATAGTTGAATTGAAATACTTTATAAAACCAATTATGTCAAGTTCCACTTTTGGCAATATTATTTCACCCAACAATTTGCCCTAACATCGCTGCCATACTCCTATCTACCTTAATAAATAAGTATAATCACTGAACTTTTCATTTTTTAGATAGATTCTGCATTTACACAAAAAAACCATTAAGCAAAAAGTTTTTTTATGTTTTTGAAAACTCGGAGTTGAAATTTTTAATGATCCCAATACTTCGCATTACATTAAAATAAAATAATATCCATTTTCACATATTATTTAGTCAATATAAAAAAAAAGTTCAAAATTTATTTATTTTTTAACCTATGCTTATTCTACTTTAGAGAGTTGAAAACAAGTATTCATTATTTTTTTAAAATGATCAGTTTATCAGTTTCTTTTTTAGTGCCCATATTTGTATCGGTCTGTCAACTAATTTTACATTTCACAGACATTAGTGTTAATCTACATCTGTTTTTTTTTTTTCTTTCTATATCTTCAGTTCAAATAAAACCGAACAACTCACAAAATTACTAACCTAGACTCTAATAAAGTTGCATTAATAACATTTTAAGCACATATTGAAACACCATAATACAATACTATATTTGTAATTAAATGACTGTATCATGGTTAGACACTAACATCATACAGTGCCAATTTTGATGCCTACTTCAATAAATAATCAACCATCCTAAGCCTAAAAAAGTTATATTTGTATAAAACATTGTCTGATTAAAATAACAATTAAGTCTAAGTGTGGAAATTTTAACCACATAGTGAGACTGCCTTTGTTTTGTTATTCGCATTTTTAATTTTAGAAATTTGAGATATACCTATCATTTATTGGTTATTTATACACAAGTTGTAATATATATGTTTGAAGGGAAATGATGGAAGATGTTATTTATAATACATACAACCCATATATTTGCAAAATATAATAAATCATATACATAAACTAAATTTAATAATTATAATGTTGCTAGAAAATTAATCTTTATATCCTAACTTTGTTATTATTATACAAAATAGAAATTCTATTAATGAACAAATAAATATTTTTAGGTTCAAATATACAATACAAAATATAAATGAATTAATACAACATATAAATTAATGAATACAAGATATGTTTTTGTTTATACAACATCATGAATAAAGGAATTTAACATTACAAATAAAGCATTTTTAAATGCATCAGAAAAAGCTGAATAATAACTAATGAGTATTCTAATAATTTACTGGATTATTCTCCATCTTCTTCAAACACCTTTAAAAAGGCTTTATTAATAATATGTCTTTTTGGAGGTACAACCTTACTAGTATTTACAGAAAAAGTGTCTGTTTTATATTTTTTAAATGGCCCAGCATGTTGCTGGAAAATCACTCTTTATGGTGCATTAAAAATACCACGGGCACAGGCTGCCATCTTGTTTAAACTAGTGCTGGTTTCAATATTACAAATATTTTTATTCCACAAAGTCCGCACACATCTTCCCCAAGCCTCGTTCCATTTCACATATGCACAAACTTTGTTCTGGTTGAGGTAATTGGTCCAACCCTTCTCCTAACATGGACCCATAATTCTGTGCAATTGTTTTGGGTTTATTTGTATTTCCGCACTGTTTTTCTATTATTTGGACGAGTTTATTGAACGGGGCCATAATTTCCTCTTCGCCTTTGTTTGATTTTTTTTTTTTGTCTTAGGCTGCAATACATACCGTTGTTCAATAAAGATGAATCATCGAGTACTTCAGCCTGTCCTCCATGTTCACACTCAACAGTAGGGGAACGCTGGAAAAAAAAAAAAAAATTACCAATCTTAGGCCTGGTATCATCCAACTAAAAAATCAGATTTTTTAATTTCGTTATAATTTTTTCCCTTCTATTTTTTGCGATGCTTATAACACATTTAGTTGAGATTTTCATTTTTAGAGGAGGGTCTATGTCTGGCACACTTTAAGACTCAATTTTACAGAGAACAAATAAAAGCTATGTAACATTTACATTAATAATGAAAGTCAAGGAAAAAACAAAACTAATCCTTAATTGAAATAGGAAACAATGGAATCAAATTCATAACAGAAGAAAATAAATAATTTGTTACAGGTAAACAGATAATGTGGAGGGTTAAGGAAACAAGACAGAATGGCTAAGGCATCATAGGGCATTTTCTCTTTATAGTCATTACCCTATGTACATTGTTTTGCTATATGAAAAAGTATAAAAAAAATAACTTAATCATAGACTAGGAGGGATATCGAAAACTAACAATGAACTTCCAATTAACTAAATATAAATAACCAGTTAAATGCTAAATAATTAACACCCCTTGTCCATTGTTTCCTTTGCGATGATGTACTTAAGTTGGACGTTAGAAAAGAAAATAGAACTAAATTAACTTACTACAGACTTAATTGATTGTTTGAATTGAAAAATAATAAAGTAACACTTGCAAATTTAGTAAAAGAGGAATTAACCATTCACTAAATTGTAAAAAAATGTCTATACAGTAAATCAAAGAACCTCATAAATAAATGGAGAAAAAAATTTTTAAATGCATTCCTTGAATCAAACAATTGAAAAAACAATTGGCAGCTCATTGCAAAGTAATTAAGTGAAAATTCATTATTTCTTAAGTAATCAAGAACTTTGAATATCTTTTTCTTTATAAAATCAGAAAATTGTGTGCTTCTTGTAAGTATAATTGATGTATAAAAGGGTTTGTTTCATTTCCATGCCCATACAGTGTTTTTGTATAGGTAAATAAAGTCAAAATTAAAAAAAAAAAAAATCTTGAAAGTTAACCTATACCAAATATGCACATAGTGTCATGAATTGAATGCAGTAAACGGAGGATATATCAAGAATTTTCAATGGTTAGAGAATTAATAATTGACTATGTTTAACGGAAGGAAATTAACAATCCTAGCAATTGTGTGTGAAAAATTACATAAAATAGCGTTAATTAGCTTTACAGAAATATATTTTGAAAAACAAGGTAAAATGTATTTATAGAGAAATGTCATAGCAAAGAAATAAACAATTCATATTAATAAGGAAAACTAAGATCAATTTTATGCTTACCTTGTATGATTCTCATGAATTTTCGACATCTGTCATGTTCTTTGTTTTCTCCACTTATTTTCTTCTACTTGCTTTTTTTTTATAGAAGAAATAACCAAAAGTAGCAATCAACCCCACGGCAATTCTAGAAGGTCCATGTTGTTTGCTTGGACTGACTCAGTCCTACTGAGCACATTTTCCATGGTTAACGAGCTTCGATTAGTTCCTTATTTTGCCGCAAGTTTGCCAGAAATTTTGCCAAACCGAGTTTGCCTGTAGTGTGGGCCCAGCATCATAAAATACTTCAGACTTCTAACCCTAGAGAGTGTTGATGTCGATGTTATACGCCGCCATGATAGATAATTCTTAGTTTATTTCATCTGCTACATTATGTTTTATTCCAGTTATTAAAACATTTATGATTCGTGAGTAAAACGTTCGGGAATGGTTATTTGTCTTTTAACCATTTATTTTTGCTCTTAAGTAACTGTATCCTTTTCCTGATTAATTGTAATGGAAAATACGCTGTTTCCCCTGTAAGGTGGCGATTCGCCTCACATTAGATGTTCTTATCTACCTTATGAATTTCTGCAAGCAAAGAAGAATCATACCTGTTTTATAGCATTCGTCAGTTATTTATCCATTTAAGTTCGAGATCACCGCTATTGTGAATTAGTGTTTATTTACATTTCGAATATGTTCTTTCCGGGCAGGTGTCCACAACTTTAAGCGGGCAAGTTTATTTATACAGTAAGTAGAACTTAAATTCCAAATATTCTTATTGTTTTTTTATTGTTCACTTTCTGTTTATTAAACTCTTTTCAAATCATAAAAGAAGTAGTTCAAGTGTCTCATATTATGAATATTATTGTATTGTGACACCTGATAAATATTGCATTGATGATTCTTTTGTGAACCTTGCCAATATAGATTTATTACTTTGTTTTTGAAAAATTATTAGGAGCAGTAATATGTTCAAATATATCTTTCTCAATTTAACTTCAATTATATTTATTTTGGATTGCACTTTCTAAATTTCAAGCATTTGATTGATATTATTGGCTTATGTGTTTTTTTTATATTCACCAATGATGTTATATCTCCAATGCACCTTATTAAGTTGACATTTGAATTAAATACTGTTATTCCCTTTAGTGGACTATTTTGTTTATATTCAATTCAATGTTATTTATTCTATAATATAATTTCTTATATATGCAACATGTTCAGTTTCACAGATTAATATAAATGGAAACGCATTTTTTTCATGTGTCATTGATATACCGTAGTGGTCTTCAGTTAAGTTTTTGTTCTTTAAAAATTGTTTCTTATTAAAGAAAGAGTGTTTTGTGTCCTTTCCCATTAAATAAATGTTATATTTTTTGTATTCTATAATTATTGACCCAGCAAATTTTGTGTCAGACTAGTTTATACATTCTAAAAATTGTTGAAAAATGACAATTGATACAATACTTTACATACTGGACGAATAATGTAAAACAATAGTTTTATTAGTTAATATTTTAAAAAGAAAGAATTAGATTAAATCATGTATACTATCTCTTATTTAAATTTTCTTTTGGCCACTTGATACCATTAATCAAAGTTAATTATTTTTAACAACTATACAATTACAAGTTGTAATTGTTTATAAAAAAAAATTCTTTGTGACTTAATCCATGGCTGCTTTATTTGTTCTCCTCTGAAATTTGTGTTTTAGTAACAAATTCAAGGTCTCAATATATATCTAAGTGTGTATATTTTTGTAGGACCTGTACTTTTTAAGTGCAATTTTCTCGATTTTGAATTAAGTGTTTCATTAGAAACTTTCCACCCTTCCTTTGTTTTTAATGGAGAAAATGGTATAGCTATAACGAAGATTTCCTTATGACTCATATATAGAAACCTAAATCAAACTTAAATGTTTTTGTAGGACTAGTCGTGTCACTTCATTTTGCGTAACATTTAGCTTTGTAAATCAGTGTAATATCAGTTGACAATTTTTTTATACTTAGCACGTTTTTATTATTGGTAAAATATATAAAAAAGTAATTAAGGCTTTTGATTTTTCAATCACTAATACTTATAAAATGTTTCCCTTGAAAATAATAACTAAGAAGGTCTTGGTTCACCATGCTATGTATTGAGAACAATGAGATTAATAGTGAATATATTTTGCTTACATTTATAATTAAATGACAGTAATTATGTTTTTGTTGTGAAATGGCTTTAGTTTATGAAAACCAGAGAATAGTTAGGTTACCTGAGAAAGCTGTTTCTCAACAGCCAGTTAATAACAGTTGAATGGCCAGAAAATCCAGAATTTGCAACATATAATATACCTTATAGTAGACATCTGAAGTCTACCATATATATGTTGAAAAATTACATAAATTGGGTAACATGATCAAGTACGTTGAAGTAAAATAAACTTCTAACCAATATTCTGATATGAGAGAGAATACATGGACTAATCAGGTTGCACAAACTGAATAAAAGGAATTATGAATTAAGCTTCTTAAATACTCTGAATAATTACAATGTCATTAATATATTGGCAGTATAAAATAAGCTGATAATTAAATTAAATACAATTTGGTCAGTTTTGATGGTTCATCAAGCTTCAGTCTGTGGACATCTATCTCCTCCGATCTGGCCCGCAAAAATTTCTTAGGTTAAATGGTATACTTTTAAAAACTATTTTAATAATATGAAATTTAGTGAATAATTCAAACACAAGGAATTACAATGTGGCCCGCTGATCAAAAAGCTTGAGCCCACAGGACTTAGTGGAGGTTACATTGTGGCCTGCTGATCAAAAAGCTTGGAGATCCCTATGGCAGATGAATTATCAGAGACTACTGACGAGTTGTTAAAGACTATACTGAGGTTGAAACATTTATAATTTATACTTTTTTTAACTTGATTCCACTATTTTTTTAAGGTATAGTTTTCATAGCCTCCATGTATTCAATTTAAAGCATAATTAAGAGATTTTATTTTTGCTTAATAAGGATTAATAATAGCCACTGTTTTTTCAATGGCATGAACCATATTAGTTGACACAGTTTTAACAAATGGATTTGCATTGGGTTGCATAGATACTTTTTTTATTATAATTTATATATATATATATATATTTTATTTTTTTGGTTGGTGCTACAGACCATGAAGATCTATGTCTGCGAGATGTGTTCTCCTAAACCACATCCTGATTCCCGATTTAAGTACACTAGGATAGGCTCATCAGTCCTACACCCGGTCGGTGTGAGTAGCCTCCAGTAGCCTGACAGGTCTCACATACCCTGGGGGAAGGATCTCTGGCAGCATGGCTTTCTCTTGTGGGCGGTCATCCATCCAAGTGCTCGTTGTTGCTTAACTTGGTTACCTATTACAAGCGTCTTATATGTATGTGGGCGGGGTAGCCGAATGGGCTAAAGCGTGTGCACTGCACCGCTGTTGCCTGGCAACCTGACATATGAATCGAAGATAAAAATAGTCACGAGTTCGCGTCCCGGTGCCGGGGGAGTCTTTTAAATCCCCGCCCACACTCCCTGGCCCGGGGAAATCCCGTATAGCCTTAACGGCGAGGAAGGGAAGGACCCAAAAAAAAAAAAAGCGTCTTATATGTATATATATATATATATATATATATATATATATATATTTAAACTTAACTATTTAATTGGGAATAAGGTCATTTAATTATTATTTAATAAACTATTGAATGTTCATTTCTTCTGTTTATTGACGTTTCGATCCCAGTATTTTCTTTTTATTAGTCAACCATGGGATCCTCTTCAAAGCTAGAATTTTAAAAAATAGAGCTTCCATCAGGCCAGGGACACACCGACAGTCTCAGCCCCGTCCACTAGCACATATATTAAGCACATGTATTAATTATACTCAGTAGCTTAATATATGTGCTAGTGGATGGTGCTGAGACTGTCGGTGTGTCCCTGGCCTGATCGAAGCTCTATTTTTTAAAATTCTAGCATTGAAGAGGATCCCATGGTTGACTAATTAAAAGAAAATACTGGGATCGAAACGTCAATAAACAGAAGAAATGAACATTCAATAGTTTATTAAATAATAATTAAATGACCTTATTCCCAATTAAATAGTTAAGTTTATATTTAATACTCAAAGGTCGATTAAGGAAAAGTTGTAATATATATATATAATATAATATATATATATATATATATATAATATAATATATACATATATATATTTAAAGCCGGTGAACAAGGAGGATCCAGGAAGGCTTCCCGATGAGACTAGTTGTTTTGCTATATCAATATGCGTTCTGGGATTGTCATGGTGGAAGTTTACACTTTTACCTTTTACAGTTCTTCTTGGTAGGATTGTTACCATGTAAAGTATTTTTCATTGACTGTGTAATGGTCAACAATAGACTTCTCAAAATTTATTAGGTTTTAAATCCTTGCCTACTTATCTAGAAACAATTAGATCCTTTTTTTCTCTTAGAGAACCTATTAATCGTTGTCAGTAATAATCTTCTTAAGAAAGAGGGTGTTTGCTTGAAAATCAATGAGATGCAATGCCCACTACTGCTTATTTTTTAGTGAAAGATCATGAGGAACAGACAGATGTCTAAAAACTTGGTGGGGTTAGTCAGGTGAAGGATGTAGGATCTAGTATCAATGCTTCCTTAATTTTCATCTGTACGGGTACTCGGTGATGAATTTTTTTGTGAGTGTTGATTTCAAGTTTGTTTTTTTTAAGTACAACTGAGAAGTGTTGACCAGTTGTGAGGAGGGGTTTGCTATTGCAGATATTATCTCCGTATGAGTTTAATTGCAGTAAGTGCTAAAGATTCAGTCTTTGCTGGGTTACATGTTAGTGTATTTCATCTCTGTATTTCATCTCTGACTCTTTTCCAACATGTACCATGCATCTCCAGCCTCCAAGAGACTTGAAATGATCAGGTTCTCTTTGATGAATGTGCCTTAAAAAAAAAAGTAATCCCTTGTAGGGTATTAGTAAGGGAGTTGTCAGGAAGAAACAAGCACCATACACTCTCCTACCACATCCATTCAATACTTCTTACAGTATTATTTATCAAAATAAAAAAATCAGAATGCTTATAGATAAAAATAAATTGGTGTTAAAACTGACAATGAATATGATATGAATTTCCTTTACGTAAAAAAAGTTGCAAAGAAATACATTCGACTCTTGATAATTCAAAATCCAATGGACTACAAGAAGAATTTGAATTATCAAGACTTCAAGTTACCAAGGCGTTTGAGTTATCAAGAGGAAAGAAAAAAATATCAAATTACTAAGAGTTTTATCATATTTTTGAAAATATGTACAAGTTTCTATAAAATTTATATATAAATAGCCTCATGTAAAAAATATTACTAGGAAAATTTCGAATTGTAAAGAGGGAAAGTGGTCTATTTCAAATTATTTAATGTTCTCTTTTCCTCTTGTTAAGAAAAGTTTGGGTTATCGAGTTATCGAAATACAGCATTATTTCAATTTACCGAAGTTGACAACTGAAGAGTTCAAATTGTAAAAAATTTGAATTATTGAGGTTCAAATTATAGAGTCAACTGTATGACAAAATTATTATGGATTAAGATATAAGGAATACAAGAGGAAACCCAAAAGTTTCGGGAATGGGATTGTAGTGAGGAGGGTGGTGTTAGGGAATCCAGTTCTATGTGAAACTCCTCCTAAGTCAGTGTGCAAAGTATGGTTGATGTGTGGGCATCCATTCATCTATGAGAATTTTTTCTAGTAAGACAACTTTCTGCATTTTGCCAAAAATGTTTGATGGCTGACTGCCGGGAGATTTGTGCAGCTGTGAAATTTTGTTTTCTGTTGGAGAAAATGCGTGTATAAACTCTGGTGATATCTGAAACAGCTTTGGTGAAAGATGCTTCAACGATAACATGTGTTAACGAATGTTTTTCATGTTTAAACATGAACAGTGGAGAGATTTCTTTTTGAAGATCAACCTTGTTTTGCATGCTCAAGTTTCAAAACTGACAAGAATGTAGAAAAAATCAATGCCCTTGTTCATGAAGACTGCGCTGAACCATTAATAACTCAGGGATGTCTGGAGTATACATCAGAAGGGTTGGAGCAAAAATGGTCCATCACCTTCTTGCCGTCTGTGAAGCAGTTATTGACCAGAATCGACATTCACACCTAACGTTCACCTCTATTTACCAGACCTTCCCCTTTGTGACATAATTCTTGTTTCTAGACTCAAAAGGGGCATAAACGAAAAGCGTTTTGACTTTCTGAGTCTTGTGATTTGGTCAAAACAATTAAACAAATGCATTAAAATCAATTAGGATTACTATGAAGGTGATGTAATTTGGTGTAAAAGTTTGATATTAACCTCCCACTAACATCTTCTCTTTTAAAGAGGTTAGAAGAATAGATATGATTGTCATTAACTGTAAATAAAATTATTATGTATAAAACAATTAATATAGTGCAGTTGGAGAAAGAATGGCCAAGTGGGCTAGCTCCTAATGGAAGACAATTTGATAAAATAATTACGAGCTTGTGTCCCGGTGCTGAGAGATTTTTAACTCTTCCATTAATCCCCAGCACTCACTCCATGGCCCAGGAAAACCCTGTATAGTCTTAGTCTAAAAGGCTATTATTTAGTGCAATAAAGCTGGTTACTTAAATTGTCAAGTTTTGGATTGTATATATAATTATTATATAAAATAACTTGAAGATAGAGATAATCCTGAATTATTAATGTGTCTATTTCTCAGAGAAATGTGAACAAAACTTCTAATAATTTTTATAAATAACTAATAAAGAGTAGAAGAAGTTTCATCACCAGTTTTAATCATTTTAAGAACTTAAGTTAAGTATAAAATAGTTAAAGTTACCTGCTAATAATCATCAATAGGTATTAAATGAAACATTTCAAATATGTTTTTGTTTTTTATTATGTTTTGGATCCATTTTGAAGTTGTATTTCATAAAAAAAAAAAAAAAAATTATATGATATAGCTAATTGGTTTTGTTTTTTCTCTGTTATGTTATAGTTGTTGAGAAGTTTTCAAGAATCAATGAGCTCAAGCCAAATTCCAACTGGCAGAGTGTTTTATAATTTGAGGTGAGTAAGATGTGTTATAACTTTAAATGGTAAAGTAAGCTAAAAATTTTTATTTGATAGACAATACTTTGCTTGATTTATCACATTTAACTCATGGATAGCTTAGAAATGATAGCTCATTTCTATAAAAGGTCAACTTTACAGTATAGGGAAAATACTTTTAAAATGCAATTTAAAATCTAAAAATTGTCCATGTTTTTTCTATATATCTAATAATCCACTTCAAAATACATAAATATTTATTCAGTCTTTCAACTGTTATTTACTGGAGATAACACAAATTATTACCAGAGGAGTTGATTATTCATTAGAAATGAAATATCATGAAATTTTATTTTTCACTGATACTAGTCTCTCCTATAAATTCAAGGTCTTGTCAGCCGGTGGTATGTAGTTTTTTTATATCAATCATGTCAAAACATGAAATGGTTATGTAACATCCCTTGTCCATTATCATGTTAGTAATAATACCTGTAAATACAAAATAAATCTAAAAGGTTTAGAAAAGAAATTGTGTGTAAATTACTGGTTAAATGATAAAAAGATTAGTCCTTTTAAAGAGTTTGAAAAAGAATAAAAAACAAAACAAAAAAAACAACTGTAGGAATGGAGAATGCCCCTAAAGTTTTTTATTAGTTATATCTCTTAATTTTTAATAAAAACTTTCCAGTTTTCTATGGCATTTCTGTTTCCAATTAAAAAAACAACCTGTACCCCTACAATCCATGAATGGGTTTGGGTTCAGTACTTTGTTAGGAAGTTATGTTTCAAGGCCAACGGTTGTCCAGATAGGTAGTTGGGCCAAGATCACCCTCAACCATAACCATAAGTTTTCCCATTTAATTTAAGTTAACACTGTATAGAGGCTGGGTGTCCCTAAGGAGGGTCTCTTGACCCCAGGGTTTATCCACGGTTGATGGAAAATTACTTGACATCAGCCGGATTAAAACCCAGAACATTGAGCTTAGACGCCCAGTGCTTCTTGGGGGTGGGGTGGCTGAGCGGGACAACGTGTCTGCACGGTACCATCTAGCAACCTGATAAGTGAAGTTTTGAGGCAAATAATTATCACGAGTTCAAATCCTGGTGCCCGAAAGGCAATGGAGGGAAATCGAAATAAAGCTACCCACTCCTTAACTCACTGAGCAACTCAGATCTTTAGTACTTATTAATCGGGACAGCCATTCAAAGTATCACTAATTACTAATTAAACTATTGTATGTAATTCAATTTTATGTTTATTTACCATTAATAAAAAAATATAAACTTAATCTTTAATTTTAATGTTATATAAAATGTTTTTATTAGATCTAAAGTGATGGATGTACATTTAATAGAATAAATACGATTAATTATTTATATTAATGTGTAATTGTTAATATATACATATAATTTTAAATTTATATTGAAAAAAAAAATTATTAGCTTTGAAAGAGATCGTAACGTGGGGTATGATTATATTTCTGTTAATATGAAATATTCTTTCATTTATATTTTTTTATTAAAATAATTGTGTAGTTATGTTTATCACTTATATTTATCAATTATATTTAATAAAATATATATCAATGTATAAAGGGAACCTAAACCAATTTCTGAACCACTTTATTGAATTAATTAAAAGTTCTCTTGTCTGTTATAGTTTATTGGCTGATTTATAATTTTTTTAACAGGTGATACTTATGTGAGGAGATGTCTGAAACGCCAGGTAGGGGCTACCTTCCTCCCACAGTACCTGCACCAGGACCTCATCGACGGCAGTGGCCATCATTCAATTATTTTGCAGGACAGTGGCAGGGAAAGCAACCGTTTATCATGGCACCATCTTCACCCCCTCAATCTGAAAGTATGGATTTATCGTCACGTCCAGAAGTGAATGGTGGGGAAGTGAATGGAACAGGTGTAAGTGTTATAGCTCCAAATCCCCTCATTGCTGAGGAGAAGCCGGGAAAACTCCCTACTGAAAGTGCTAGAGGTTTTGAGGCAAAACCAGAACCATTTATTGTGTCAAAGACTTTTACAAATTTGCCCCCCGTTGAAAAGATACAAAACCAGCCAAATGAAGGGACAACTCCTCCTAATGATTTAGCTGAAAGCAGAACTTCACCACCAGTTGAAGAAAAGATTTTGCCACAACCAGAAGTACCAGTAGAAGCTCCAGCTCCACCGAGTGAATCTGCTGCCCACCCTGTTGAAGCACAAAAAGGAATCGAAGCTGCTGATCATGTTGAATCTCTTCTTGAGAACATGTTTCAAGGTGAAACAAAACCTTCTGTTATAGTTGCCAATTGCTCGCGTCCTCCAGTTTTAACGGACGATAAAGTTGTTGAAATTCTTCAAGATTCTTCAACTCCTATTAAAGAAGAACCAAAAGAAAGTCAGTTCATGGAAGTTGAATCAGAACTTGAAAAAATGTTTGCTGGAATAGAAGAAGAAAAGCCACCAATTCCTCCATCTACTGAAACTATGATCATACAACCTGAGAAGAAAGCAAAGAAACAATCAAAACCAAGGCAGAGGAAATCTACAGATTCAGTCGAAGGGAAAAAAAGGAAAGCTAAAAGAAGAGAAAGGCAAAGACCAAAGAAAACAAAACGAGAAAAAGAAAATTCTAATGACTCAAGTACTCTTAGTAGAAGTGTGCGTGGTCCTTATGTACATGTTGAAGGAAGTAAAGAAGCACCTCAATATGTGAGTGTAGTAAACAGTGCAGGCAAAGAAGAGGAGGAGAAAGATCGTGGCGATAGAAGGAAACACCAAACATTAGTTGAAGGTTTGTAGTTTGTACTTAATTTTAATGTTTTTATTTAGTCTGTAGAATAGAGCTGCATGCACAGTCAAGGAAAAATAATAAATGAATAAAAGTGTTTACTTTTCAGCAGTGGTACTCCTTTCAGCAATGCTATTGTCTATTAATGCTTTTCTGTGTTAATAACAAACTTATTTCTTATCGTAATTTCAATAATAAGTTGGTGAAAATAGAATGTTATTGTCATACATTCTAATTTAAAAGTTTATAATATAACTTTTTAATGTTTTTCAACCAATGAGTTAGTGTGATTAGTTTTTATCTATTGTTTATTCTGAACATAGCACCTATTGATCTTATCTTTCTCCATTTTTTCTATGAAATTAAAAGATAACTTATTTATATTTCCTGTTTGTTTTTGTTTTTTCATACGTGGGTATTGAACGTAAAAATACTATAGAGACTACATTGTCATTGATATTGCATCATTGTTTTCGTCAACATAAAGACCTTTCTTATGTTGTCTTATGCAGACTTGGCAACAATTAGTGAATATGACCAAGATGGCCGCCATCTACACTGTTTATCTTACCCTCCTCTCTTTGATTTTGTCCTGTGGCTGCTAAAGTAACATTGAGAAATTTATTAATCTGATTGATCAGGTCTGGGAAGGAGCTACGGTATACGCAAAAAAGAGAAAATTTGTTGCTACAAACGATTGTATAATTGAGAATGTCACTTTCAAAAGGTATTTAAATCTGCTTATTAAAAATTTATTTACTTGAGTTAATTTCTAGCCTACGCATACAAAATATGACTGAGAAGTAAGCTTGTTTTTGAAATCATTACAACATTACATCTTAAATTTTTACCTTAACCTTGTGACGCTACAATCTTGGTGAACCTTGTCCACATTAGACCTAACAAATGAACCATTGCCATTTGGTCCCAGTTTGTTTGACCTGGTGGCTGCTCGCCTTCCTGTTCTTGATAAATGTGATTGATTTTAGTTTGTCTCTTATCAATTTGAAAGAATTTTGCATTTCTGGAGTCTCATTTTTTTTTTCATTTATTTATTTTTTTTTTATGGAAACTGGTTCTACTATTTAAACAAGCTAGAAAAACTAAACTGCTAAGTCATACCTACTATTCATGAAATAACAAAATGTTTATTGACTTTTGTACTGAAACCAGTTTATTCGATGTATTGCCACTTCTAAAAACATTTCTGGAAATTTAATTAAGTTTTATTTTTTAATAGTTGTTATTGCAGATATATTCATTTGTTGTAATTTTTTTTTTTTTTATAGGGCGGGTTAAAGGATCTAATTTGTACAGTAGTACATTGTCTTCAAGGTACAATTCTCAAAGTATTGATTCTAGTTGGGTTTGTGTCTTTTGTAAACTGAGAGCACACTGTGAAGGAGGTTTAGGTAAGTTTAAAACTTTTTGTATTAATATTTTAAAGGTATAGTCGTGGTCATAGAAATTACATCACCCAGGAAAAATTTTATTTTATTTACCAGATTGCTCTCTGCAAAATCTCTGGATATTGCTTTATCATCTTTGAAGCGATTCTCTAAAAACAATAGCACCATTAAGCAGTCAAATTGTTTGTTTTTTTCTCTTCTGAGTTCCTTTCTATGGTGCCCTGAAAATGGGTTTTGTTTTTTTCAAAACTATTATTACCATTGATTGGTGGTACGGTATCCTTGTTACTATTTCCTGTGAAAATTCCTTCACTTCATGTAACGTCACAATTTTAATATTTTCTGATGGGGACAGTTTTTTTTAACTGGTCATAATTACAGGTTTCATCCTGGCATTAGTTAAAACTGAACTGAGAAACATTGTTTAAGTTTTCTTGTAACCTAAATAAGTTAAGCAAAACAAAAATATTCAATTATATATTATCAACATAAGAATCATAAAAAATAGGTGATGCAATTTCTATGACCGCGACTGTATGTTTTAAGAATTTTTGAATGAGTATTTATTCCATTATTGTTATCCCAGAGGTCTCCAAACAATATTACTCAGGCTCAATCAAGCCTATGAGTACCACCAATCCACCTCTCATTGTTCATTTTGTTTACATTGCAAAATTTTCAACGTAATCAAATTTTTATTATATTAGTGTAATGTTTAATGACCATTTATAATAATAATAAGGCTTAGCGAACCCGAAGGTTCGATGCCGACACCACCCAATCGCTTGTTACACACCTCCCTCCACCGTTCGCCGTCCAAACCCAGTCCCTTCAGATCGGCTTTAATGCAATCTTCCCACCTTCGCTTCGGTCTACCCCTCGGACGCTTACCGCACAGCAAATATTAACCTTTTAGGAATTCTCTCGTTACTAAGCCCAACAACTTTACAAGCCCATTTGATTCGCCGCGATGAAATTACCTCAACTATATTACCCGGATACAGCTCACGCAATTCGGCGTTGTGTAACCGTCTGAACTCTCCGGTTAACTCATCCTTCTTCGGTCCGAATATTCTACTAATACTTTATTTTCAAAAACCTTAAGATGCTGCTCATCCCTTAATGTAAGTGGCCAAGTTTCACATCCATAAAGAACTGTAGGCAAGATAATTGTTTTATAGATTCTAATTTTTAAGTTCCGGGACAAGAGGCGCGAACTAAGTAGTTTTGTCACAGAAAAATAACAAGCATTTCCCGCCTCCAGTATAACCTTAATCTCTTCTTCAATTTCGTTTTTTCTAGTTATCGTTGAACCTAGATACCTAAATTTATCTACCTGTTCAAACATATTACCATCTATATCGATATCACCAGTAGTATCGCCATTTTTGCAGCTAACCATATATTTTGTTTTATCCACGTTGATTTCGAGTCCTAGTTCTTTCCCGGCTTTCATTAACGTTGTCGTATTAAGTTTTATGGTTTCAACGTCTTCGCTTAACAGTACCAGATCATCAGTATAGCCCAGCACGGATGTTGTCCCGCCCAGATCCAACCCTTTCTCGGTTCTCATTACCTCCCTAATATCATGTTCTAATGCCAAATTGAACAGGACAGGCGAAAGGGAATCCCCCTGTTTTAAGCCCGAACGAACCTCAGATTTTTCGGACAAATTATTACCGATTCTAACTTCATTGAGTGTCTCCGTCAAGCACATCCTGACTAGATTTACTAGTTTTTTTGGAATCCCCTGCTCGATTAGAATATTATACAGTTTCTGGCGGTCAATAGAATCGTAAGCCTTTTTAAAATCTATATACAGCTGGTGAACAATACCGTTATACTCCAATTTTTTCTCTAATATTTGCCGTAAAGAAAATATTTGATCAACAGTCGAACGATTCCCTCTAAATCTGTATAAAGATCATAATTTCCCGTATTTAAAATATTGTCAAAGTGGTCCGTGGTCCTTAAACTTATTCAATATGTCAACCGGATCGGTCAGAATATTGTTATTATCATCCCTAATTCCAAACGTTACGGGCCCTACATGTCTAGTTATCTCATGTATCAGGTTGCCGGGCAACAGCGGTGCTGTGCACACATGTTAGCCCATTCGGCCACCCCATCCTCCCATAAGCTCATTTATTAAGAGAGTAGTTAACATACAAGTTTAATTCATATCATAACAAATTTTAAGTTATGAGGATTAATGCCAGACTTAAAAGACCCCTGTCACAGAACCTATAATTTTCAGTTTATCAGGTTGCCAGACAATGCGTGTTGTGCTGAGAAGAGCCTTCATTGATTGTTTGATCACTTACTATGAATATAGAAGTCTATAACTCAGAGTATAGAAACCATACCTCAGAGTATAGAAACCATACCTGAATATATTTTGTGATTATTAAAAGTATCAAAAGGTTTCTTTTTATATTATCTGAAGTGCCCAAGGGATCATGAAGCTATTCTCCTCCATCAATCTTTTCATTAAATTTTTAGTTTGTCAAGGACTGACATAAAAAGCTATATTTTAATTTTGAAGACTTAAAACACATGACGAATATCTCATGACAACCATAGCACCTAAGAAGCATTTGGAAAGAATTATGATTTAACTCAATAATAGAACATTTTTATGCTTTAAACTGCAAGGCTTGATAGTTCCTTTGGAACTATGCCATATATTGATGACTGTGTCAAAATCTTGAAGACACTGTTTGTCCTATCTCGATTCATTTTCTTCGAAACCCCTCCCCCATTTTTTTCAATGACTTATTAAAGTTAAGGAATTTAAGGATGGAAATAGGGATTCATCACTTATCCATGAAATTCCCTTTCGCTTTATACCTCATTGAATCTCAAAATCTACTTTACCATGAAATTCCCTTTCGCTTTATACCTCATTGAATCTCAAAATCTACTTTACCATGAAATTCCCTTTCGCTTTATACCTCATTAAATCTCAAAATCTACCGCTCCTGAGAGCTGAAAAAAAGGATCTCTATCACAATATTATATATAATGTAGATTAGTAGTTCCCAGGCCACTAATCTTTTTTTTTCTTAAGCTGTGCCTTCTATTTAGAATCATAAATATTAATTCATTCAGAAAGTATTGATATATTTTTTATTGAAAGGTGGAGAACCTGCAGGTGACTTGTTTGGACCATATATATTAACAGTTCCAAAAGGAGGAGAGGTTGATCGTGGGTTTCCAGGAGACAAAGAAGTATCAGCCGAACAGAAAAAAAGAGGGGGAGGTAAGGCAGCATCCCTTCGAGCAACTGGATCTGTTGAAGCTTTCTTGAATAATTTTACAAAGAAAGTAAGTTATATTTATTAAATATATTATTTTTTATTTATTTATGAACAAAAAGCTTACTTTGAATTGAGATGTAAATTTGTGCTCTATGAGACATCAATTGTATTACTGAAGATTATTCTGTAAATGATATTTCTTAATTTTTATATTTTTTTTTTTTCGGTATAATCAATTTTAATCCATTAGATGGTTATAGATGATAAATATTCAGGACGCAGTCTTTTAAAAAAAAATTTATTTGTGCTAACGTTTCAATCCAAACATGTGGGTCATCTTCAGGGCATGGTTCGAGCACTGAAACCTTTCAAGTATTCCCTAACTTAGCGTTAAAGCGTTCAATGTCCGAACCATGCCCTGAAGATGACCCACATGTTTGGATTGAAAGGTTAGCACAAATAAAAAATAATTTTTTTTTTAAAAGATTGCGTCCTGAATATTTATCAACCATGATATGTAGAACAGTCTATTAGTTTCTTTCAATAGGTGGTTATAGCTTTAATTTGTATTACTTTTTTTTTCTTGATGTATGTGATTCTCACCGTTGTATAAACCATAGTATTTTGAGCAATCGTATTTTATATCTGTCCATAGATTAAATATAGTTGTACTTAGACTATCGGGGTTAATAACAGGGAGTAAGATACACGGTTATACTAACGTTTTTGTATATTTACAAATGGTTGGTAATGATGAAAGAAAAATCATAGTATATAACAATTATAAGTTCATGTTTTTAAAAATTAATACATAATATTGGTATATTTATAATCTAAATAATTACATGTGACAAAAAAAGTCCAGATAATAAAATATTTTTCACTTGAACGATTTACTTAGATTCCACTGAAGAAAGAAACTTCCTCTTTACTTTTTCTAATTTCTTAACACTTTCACTTTTATAACCAAAATAAATTATATTTTCAATTTTTTTTTCTATAGGCAAAATATTAAACTTTTGTTTTAACCTTTTCTAAGCAAATAGTTTGAGCTGCAAAATAACCATGACTTAAAATGTTATTATGTCTAATTACTTTTTTGAAATGTTTACAATTCATCTATTCCTTCATCCTGCTGCTCAAGGAGTTCCATCCCCTTAGAAATTTTATCACCCTCAGTTGCATTTGTGATTTGTTCAATATTTTTTCTTTGTGCCATGGTTTGAAAGTTACTCAAAATTGAAATCTTCGAAAATTCATAGCCCTGTTAAAATGTACCTCCCTTAAAGATAAAAACCCTGTAAAAATATGCGCTCCTCTTCTCATACGTTTTAAAGGTGCTACTTGCGTCTCCTCCATCTGGGCACAATTGGTGTCTAAAAATTTTTTTTTATCTAGTAGTCAAGTAAGACAGCTACCGTAACCACTTTGTTTTAGACTACTACAATCAACTATTCCATACACAAATGGATACAAAATGTTATTTGAGTGGCTTTACATCAAAAGTGGACATTTTCTATTTTTAAAAGGTTGTTAAAAAACCAATTTTTGTAACATGGCTTCAATTTAAACCAATTCTAATTATTGTTTTTCGTAATCAGGGTGGCGAACAACCTGGAAAAATGGGAAAAGTCAGGGAATTTTCAAACAGGGAAAAATAGTTTAAATCGTGGAATTTTGTTAGTATGTAAACATTTTTTTCAAATTGGAAATAAATTCACAGTGGATATCATTTATAATGGACCTTGAAGGGATAAACTTCGTCATTATAAAACGACCACGGTTGCTATATCCATCCACCTTTAACTGCCAATAACGGCTTTGACTGCTATTTATTGGCTGGCAAGCACTGATCCATTTGTCCCATGGCGTTCCTTAAAACAGCATTTATTAACCAGAAGTGTTAAAGTTGGGGTCGTACGCACAATTATTATGCTGTTTAAAGTAATAAAGAAACTGAATTAATATTACAATCCACCCCGTAACTTACTTTATTTTATAATCAAGAAAATCAGAGCTTTATATGCAAAGTATTAACTTTTACTTCCTCTCAGTTTATAAAAATAAAATAAAGATGATAAAAATAAATTACTAAAAGTTTATTTTTCTAAAATAAAAAAATCCTAATCAAGCTTAATAAATACTTCCTCTAAAACATTATATTGTTGATGGTGTAATGTTATTTATTTCACTGGACTCCCGACCAACCCCATCTTTTATATTATATTTGTTATTTAAAAGACTGATATTTTTCTTTTTTTTTATTCGAATCATTTTGTAGTCAATTTTCTCTGATGTATAATAAATAAATTTTGTTATTGAAGGAAGTCAGTCGACTGTTCTAATTTGTTATAAATTATACATTTGTGTCCCCAGACATATTGATCAGGAAAAACTATCATTAAATAGGAAAATGTCAAGGGATTTTACTTTAACTGTCTGGTAGCCACCAAGGTAATTCATCTTGAAAATTCTTAATTAAACTCATCAGTAGCAGTTTGAGTTGACCTTGTAAAACAAAAATTGACTTTTTTTCCACTTTCTGAAAATGACAAACGTCCGTCTTTGATTTGAAGCCACTCATTTGATTTATTTCACAGATTAAGAAGTATGTTCTCTGGTAATGTGATCATTGTAGAAGGTCATTTATATGAACTTGAAATGTTTCAGAACAAGAAAAATTCATTTGGAAATCTTGATGAAGCTGGTGGAGAAAAGGAAGTTTGGGTTCATGAGAAATGTGCTATTTGGGCCCCAGGCATCTATTTAGCTGGTCCACATCTTGTTGGTCTTGCCGAAGCTGTTGCTACTTCCACAACCACAGTATGTCCTTTAGTTAATTTTTTTTTATTACATATTATCTTTCCATTCTAATGTTTATTAAGATGAAATATTTTAAAGTAAAGTATTTAGATTATAGCAGTTAATTTGAAAACAAGTGTTATTTTATTCTTTGTTTTATGTTATCAACAAGGTATTTTTTGTTGATTTGTTCTACTACTTTAATTTTCAAAAGTAAATTTAGATTAAAAAAATTGCCTCGGCAATGAAACAAATTAAGTAACCTTATAAATGTTCTGGCTTAATTGATGGTACCAGAATTGTATTTCCTAATTATAATTTTCATGATAATTAAAATTAATTATTTTAATTTTAATTTAGTGTAAAACAAAGTTACAATATACAATGTTTATATTAAGAGCAACAGAGGTATTCATACTACGGTGTAATCTGAACTTGAGTTATCAGAACACTCAATTAGTCCTTACTGCTGGCATAAAAAAAAAATAATAAAGTAGAGCTATAGACTTAGTTCAAACAAACGTGATTTTTTTTTTATTTATTTTTTTTTTTTTGAAAACTGAATTATTTTTTTTAATTCCTACCATAGAATTTCTTTAATGATAACCTAAATTCAATTCAATGCCATAATTTCATATTGCAGGATGGTGATTTATCGTTTTAAGTAACCTAATCTCAAGACATATTTGATACGATATAACTCTGGAGCCGATTAAGTCTCAGTCACCAAATTTGTGACATATTCTTATTTAATAAAATTAAAACATTTTGTTTTCCATTAAGTTCCTTTTATTATATTCTAATTCAAAACTCTCCAAAAATGACTTGGTCGTTTTTGAAAATTCATATCTAAGAAAAGACAAGATTAAAATTCCATCAGCAAGTAAAACAGTTATAGTAGGACTTCATATATAAAAATAAATTAAAGCTGAGACTCTTTCCATTATAACAGTTTTGCAGTGCTAAATGTCTTGTTTTTTGTTAATTTTTATTTTATGGTTGTCAATTTTGTTACAATGTGTCCCTCACTACTTAGGAAATGTATTGTGAGGACAAAAAATTTAGAGACAAATATCATCGCAATTTTAGTTTTGTTTTGGTATCTGCAAAAATGCCTGAGTTAGAGTTGGTAGGATATGCTGTTACCAACTTTCACTTGGCCACAATGTTTCTTTGTGCTATAACTAATAGAATCAGTTGAGTCTCAGTGATCATATTCATCAAACGTTCCTATCATAAAGAGGTATAAACAAACTGTATGAATTTCATAATTTCACCAAGTTCCTTTTGTGATATCCAACATGAAAAATTGCTGAAAATGACTTTTGGTCGTTTTTGAAAATTTTCCGACCACAAGGTGAAGATGGCAGCACTCGTAATAAAAGCAAGTGAATATCGTTGCTCATACGTTGACAGTTACCCACCAAAGTTTCAGCCATTTTGGAGAAGCAGTTTTTATGTAACAGTCGTTTGAGTGAGTTGAATTCAATATTTGTTTTTGAAAGACAATATGCCTACGCAAATCAAAGACGAGTTGGATTCTGTGTATGGAGACTCTGCACCATCATTTACCACAATGAAATTTTGGGCAGCTGAATTTAAACGTGACCGTGAGAGCTTGGGAGACAATGAACGTTTCGAACGCCAAAAAACTGCAACTACCAACGAAAACATCGCCAAAGTTCACTAAATGGTGCTAGACAACTGCCGAATTAAAGTGAGAGAGATAGCAGAGGTTATGAACATGTCAAAAGAACGTGTTTGTTTCATATTAAATCAACATAACATATGAGAAAGCTGTGGGGTACTGCATTGCTAAAAATGTGTTTGAATGAACATTTTCAACGCTCTGTTGGCGCAGTTTAAGCAAAAACTGTTTTCTTGGATGGGGAAGTGGTGGCCACTGTTTTTTGGAATAGTCATGGAGTTATTTTAATCGACTATCTTCAAAAAGGAAAAAACCATTACAGGAGCATACTACGCATCGTTACTTGACAAGCTGAAGGCAGAACTTGCGGAAAAACAGCCACATTGGCAGAAAAAGACAATCCTGTTTCACCAAGAAAACGAAAACGCATCTCACACCTCAGCGGTTGCCATAAAAAATCCACGAATTACGGTTTGAACTGCTTGTCCATCCGCCTTACTCACCAGATCTAGCCCTAAGCAATTTCTTTTTGTTCCCTTATCTAAAAGTTGTGTTCGGAGGACAGATTTTCGTCAAATCAAGAGGCAATCACCTTCGTAAATAATTATTTTGCAGAGAAAAATGCCAAGAACTTTTTGGACAGGTACAGAGATGAGAGCATCACTGGGAGAAGTGTGTAGAGTTACAAGACTATGTTGAAAAATAAAAAAAAAATTTCAAAAAAATGTCTTGTATTTTTGTTAGGTCGGAAACTTTTCAGGCCACCTTCCTTTTTTTATAGGTGTTGTATTGGCAGGTAGAAATGTAGAAAAAATACTCCATATTATTTCAATTTTTATTTTGGTTTTATATATACAAAATTACAAGAGTTAATGGTATTTTTCTGAAACATGCTTTCATTCGAAAAGCAAATTTAAAATAGCTGCTGAGAAAAATCTGTGAGCTTTGAATTTTTTTTTTTTTATTGTGATTTTGAACTCTCAAATGAATATGGAACAACTGGTAAAAAAAAAATAAAAAAAAAAATATACAAATAATAAAGAAATAAATATAAATATAAGAAGTAAATAAATAATACTGATGAAGAAGGTAAATAAATAAATAAATAAAAAAAAAATAAAATAAAATAAAATAAAAACTTCTAAACACAATCATAACTATATACAATATATACATTTGCCCAAGAATCTCCGAGCCAGGCTTTTACCTCCACACGCGGAAGGCAAAGCAAGACTCCGGAAGATCCCAGTGCCACTTTTCCAGTCGCATCACTAGTATTAGAAGCCAGTGGAGACTGAAAGAGGGCAATACAGCCACAGACGCTCAGGACATGAGTGGAGAAGCTGGCCATTGCCAGGACTCCAAAGGCATATTTACAAAAGATCTCGAGGCCACTGCCGTTTCAACCTTCGAGGGGGATGGTATGGATGCTCGGAGCTGGATAGGGATTGCGCTAGAGGATTGGGATGATGAATGAGGTTCTGGTGAAAGTTGGAGAATCTAGTCTCATTTCTATCACTATTTGACCCACAGCATGCAGTATGACCATATACTGTGGTTGCAAATCCTTGGATAAAACATTTAAATTAACTTCATTATATTCATTTTTCTTCTGTGGAATTGATCTGGGAAGCAATAAAGCATTGGAAGTATGTAAACAGCAGATTTGCATTGCTGTTACTCCTGCCATTTCCACTATACTGTGTTTCCTTCATTGACAGTATTTGATGCGGAAGCCCAGGGGACCAGTAGGTTAAGAGTTAACTCTGTTTATCTTAACCTACAATTTTTCAATCTACCAAATCTACCTCCTGAGATGATGAAGGTTTAATTTAAAAAAAAAAAAGTGATAAAAAAAATTTGGTGGTTGATTTTAGGTAGATGTATATATTTTTCATGTAGAATAAAAGTCTCATATAGACTAATCATATTTTCTCTTTTTATTAAAAATAACATTACTTAAAAAAATGTTCTATTGGTTTTTCATTTCATTTTTATTTTTACTATCTTGATTTTTTCATGCAAATATTCTTATTCTTTTAGAAATGTAGTGTTTGTGGTGAGTACGGAGCTTGCGTTGGGTGTATAAGAAGAGGTTGTCAAGGAAGAGTTCACTACGGATGTGGTCTTTCAAGCGGTTGGCATCTCAATGACGATAACTTTCTTTCTCTTTGTCCTAACCACATAGTGAAGGTAACAATTCAATAATTTATATTCTTTTGTGATTTAAAAAAAATTTATTATATAAGCTTCTACAGTTGGGTTTTTCAAAAGTAAAAATAAACTTACTTATTGTCTTTAAGCAAATTATTTTTAGTGAAAGCACCTATTCTATTCTGTAGTCCTCTTACATATAGGTTTTGTTTTACCAATTCATCATCAGTAAACTCAGGAGAAATCTATATAATATATGTATATTTCCTCTCTTCAGATCCTATATTAATGACGACCCACATGAATCAATCCTCCATTGTTCCCATCACTTTACGGAGGCAACTCTCAAATCTATCTATCATCTTCTCCTTCTGAGTTATTATTAGCAATCACCAAGATACAACAAAATCTAGATTGAATCAGTATCATTGGTTCCAACTCCCTTCTTAGATCCCATACCAACTTTCCATACTATATCTTAGTGACCATCCCATCACCTTCTAATCTTTTGTTCAAATTTAGGCTTTTTCATTGATATACCCTCTCTTGAAATCACTATATTCCTCACAACTCCAGGTAATAGAAATTTCTATCTTAAAACTATTCTATCACTTCCACAATCTTCTACTCCAACATATGCGTAGATTCCTGGTTTCCTCCCTTATCTTCCTCCACGTTGACTCTAGATGTTTGGTGTACGGTGGCTTCTAGGTGGAAAAGAATTATGAATAGCTTTCTAAGATCTGCAATTGGGACCTGAGACCCTCCCATGTTTCCCACGATCATACTTATAGTTATGTTGGCTCTTCTCTTCCGGAGTCAATATTTCCTTTGCACATTCTTTTATCCAATCATCGTTCTTCATATGCCTACAACCTTCTCCAATTCAGGTCTTCAGTCCATTCCCTGGCCATAAGATCTTTTACCTTTTGACCTTTATATTCATTTTCACAGATCTTTCCCATTCCAAAGCTCCTTTGTTGTCTGCTATGCCACTTTCTGGAATTCTATCCCTATTAAAGTTAGGCATGCTCCCTCCTTATCTAGAGTTAAAACCCTCCTATTCCAATTCCGGTTTCAAAAACAGTCCAATAAATGCTAAATTTGTATGACATTGCAGTACTCTATTCTTATTACTCACATAATATTTTTGACTTTATACTTGTCATTTATTATAAAATTAGTAGCTTTACCCAGCCACTCGCTGCTGTGGCTTAGACTGGCAAAATGGAAAAGAAAGAAAATATATAGCATATATGAGTGGATTAATACCAAAGGACATCTGTAATTTTTAAAAAGTTGGGAAACAAATTTGTCTGTAAAATGGCTTCAATTTAAACTAATTCTAATGTTTTTTTATTTTTCATGATTCAACTTGAACATTCGTAATCATCTGAGTGAATACGCCTTTATTCATAATCATCAGAAACAGTCTGAGATGAACTTATAAAACTAAAATTCACTTTATCTTATCTTTCTGAAAATGACAGAAATCCGTCCTTTGATATCAAGCCACTCATATATTTTCATATTTAATTTTTTTTTTTTTTTTATAATTAATGTATTGTTTAATGTTCAACTATGTGTTGATCATTTTATGGCAAATAAAAATGTAAATGTTTGGTTGTTTAAACTCTCAAATCTCAGAAAGTTCTTCACCCATTACCTTGAAATTTGGGCTTAACGTTGCATTTAAATACGTGCGTTGTTTAATATATCTACTATTATAAAATATAAGGTGAAACTATACATATTTATTAAAAACACACCACTCTTGGATGTAAAAGTTGGTTCAAAATATTTTACGATACTGTTTCAATGTTAAAGATTTTTAAATATTAATCGTGGCAATGCATTGAAATGCCGCTATACCATTTATCATAGCGTTCATTTAGATGTGCATTAGATCTGCCTTCCATCTTCCTCAAAAGATTTCGCATACTCCTAAGATAGTTGCTTCTTATTAATAACAACTTGATTAAATATAGAGTTGTAAAAATTGTAGTGGAAAAATAAACCATACTCATGAAAGAAATCCTACGGTAAACGGCACAACCTTATTCCAACATAATGTTAGAGAAAAGAATTTATAAAAAAATTAATTAATCTGAAGTCAATAAAAACTGATTTCTAAAAGGAACATAAACGGTGATAAGTATTACTCAAGAGTTAAATCTTTTTAAATAATAGCAAATCAAATATTTGAGATGTATCATACTACTTCCAGAATACATTGGGAGGAAAATAAAAAATGAATATAAAGAGCATATAATAGTATTGACCTAAATAAGGAGAATCATATCACTTCTTCATATAATAATTTCAATTACTGTATTATTTATAAAATTTTCGATAAATCAATAACAGGAAAAAAAAAAGAAAAAGGAAATGGCCTTTTCTGAAGAGAAATCAGTAAATGTTTAAAACTCTATAACTCTGCAACGAATTGACCGATTTCAATGGTTTTTTTTTTTTTTAATTTTGTCGGCAAATCAGAAATCTTTCAAATAAATATGGGTATTATCAATCCAATATTGTGTACTTTTTTAGTTATCGTCAAATAAAAATCGTTTACATAAATTAAAAGAGTTTCAAGGGGAATACTTTAGCCAGATTTCGTTAAAGCCGTTTTGGCGCTATAGTTTATAGTACCACATTTTTTTGTGGCTTTGAACAGAAAAACATTTACATTTCTATTTTTTTTACATATATAAAGTTATCATAAGACAGAAGTACTATGCCAGAAATCTTCCTAGGAGTGTACGGAACAACTTCCCAAAGTTTCATGGCGATCGGATGAGTGGTTTATTAATGCATAAAGAACAGACAGACATACATTCATTTTTATATATATAGATAGTACTGTTTTTTGCTACGTATATAAAAATTCCCTGCTCTATGGCATAGAGATGTCACTCAAAGCATCTATTTTTCTTATTATTATTTTTTAATGCACAATTAAAATCTCTTGAGATTAAATAATATTAAATTTATATATCATCAATTTACTTTTTAATTTTGTTTTCTCTCTTTTACGGTACCATTAAAAATATATACTTATATAGGCATTTGTTAAATGACAGGTCCAACTTTATTTTTCTTCGTCAATAAACTTGGCATTTATTTATTAGTAAAATTTAATTACTTTCTTTTTTTTTTACAAGTGAATCTAAATACTGGTTGGCTATTTTCGATAGATTTTGTTTAGTTTTAAGTGTTTTGTTCATTGTTCCATTTGTTTTGTATATAGCTAGTTTACTCAATACATTATTTTTAATGTATCAAGCCTTCTGACGAGAAGTAATGTTTTCTTTTGTTTTGATTTTATTATTCTTAAGGGTCTTGCTCCCAGAATAAATTTATTTTTTTTCTTCTATATATCACTAATTTAAAAGACGCACTGCTTAAAACTCAATATTTGCTATCTTAGTGAGTTTATATGTACATACTGTAACAAGTAGAGTTCTAAGAGAAGTATTTTTACAAAATAAACTGGAGAAGCAATCACAATATATTATTGATTTCTTTTTAATTAACTTATTTTCAATATGTAAATATTATTACAACTATTCCATTGTTACGATATTTATATATAACTACCTTACAAGAAAGCCTGTATAACTAAAAACATTAAAGATTGTTTAATTTTCTGTATCCTTAATCACCAATACAATATGCCAATGATTAAGCAATATCAAGTAATAAAACAATTTATTTTTTTTTGTTTTGCTGATATTTTTTCTAACTAGAGACATTTGAAATTTTTTGTTTAAAATCAGATTTTTTTATTAGTAATAAAGCATCAAGTGATCATGATCTTTTGTCACAATTTTTATTTTAAATTTGTTTCAATGTTATAGTTTATAGGCCATTATCACGGAAATTCTTTAATATTATTGGAATTTTCTTGAATATATCTAAGATCCACAATATATTTCCTTAACTTTCTTAGATTAATTAATTATATAATTTTTTTTGTAAATCTGGTTTTTATGTTTATTTTTTATTAAAATCAATAATTATTTTTCAGAAGGAAAAATTTCTAAAAGGGACGTGAAATGGTATCGTTTTCATATTGTCCTCGTATTTCCATGATGGTGGTCCTCACAATGAGAACAGAAGAAAACTATATACTGTTTAAGGATTAGAAGAACAATTAATTGTTTGTACTTGTTCCATTGAGAGTACAGTTAAAAGATGTGTATTTAAACATGTATATAATGCATGTTCTGATGATGGTCTTTTTGATGTATTTTTATTTACAAAACATTACCAAGAGTATTTATGCTGTAAGTACTGTAAACAATTTTGGAGGGCTGTGTATATATTTTATGATCTGCTGTAACGTTAAGGCACTTGATTCATGTTAATATTTAATTCATGTATAGCATATTTTAAGTCATAAATATATATGATACACGTTCATTAATTTATACAATTTATTTGATATTTCGGAAGGGGGGGAGGGGAATAAATAGACAGTTATACTTAAAAGGAAAAAAAAAAAAAAGGTTAAACAAAGAAACTGATAAAAATTGTGAATAACCGTAGTGGTATCACTACTATATGTATATGTATATGTATGTACTTGATAACTTAATTGAACAATTCAAACGTAAATCTTATTTTTTAAGTATGCGTTCGATTTAATTTCTTCCTTTTTTTTCTTTTTTTTTTTTTTGCTTAGTAATAAATATAAATATAGAAACGTATATATATATTTTTTTGTACAAGGATAAACACGAAAAGAAAATGAAATAATAAGAAGCATGATATATGACTTTAGCATGTGAGAGATTCAGTATTGTTAAGTTTTGTGTATATTTGTTGTTAGTTTTAAATTATCTTTCATATATAAACTTAACTCTTGTACAAATATTGTATTATTTCCTGAGTGTTTGATACATTTCTTTCAGTGTATGTATGTTTTTTAGTTAAATATGATAAAAACGCAATGAAATGGGGAGTGTATTGATTTAGTTATATTATTAATTTTAATATTACAGTACTACCTCCCTGCTGAACTCTTTCGACTGTTGTTTGAAAAATATTAATTTTCAAGCATTATATTCACATTTTTGAACATCAGTCAATACATAATTTTTTTAAAATTTAATTTACTATTTCATTTCTTAAAGCCTCTAATGAAGGGAAATTAACTGCTCTATTTCCTAATCTGATCAAGTGTTAAAAAAAAAAAAAAAATGTTAAGTATAATCCTAAAATGGTTTGAGTACTTATGTTATTGTAACCAAGCTGCATCAAAATGTATAGTAAGTCGTCTACAGGACCATAAATTAGGAAACCACTGATTAAAGGATATATTATTAGAGTATTGGGTGATATAAGTTTGGATTAAATCTTATTTAGTTTCAATTTTACCCACTGACATCAGTATAGGCACCAAAACATCAGTTTTCACTATATACATCAATTAACAACTGCCACCTTGAGGGCATATTGAGAACTGAAAGGTTAAAAATTTAGTTACCTTGTCTGCCATCAGTTATAACTTACAAATTATTCTTTTTGTATTACTTATTTTATTTGCTAATTGAAAATTAGCTTTATTAATTAAAAAACTAAACCAAATATTTATGCTTGAAGTGCTCACAATAGTTTTTAACTGATACTAAAGAAAACTTAATTAGGCATTTATTATAGTGTAGGTAAAATCAAAAGTTTCTGAGGTGTAAAGTATTTAGTTTTAGATAACTCTGACAGTCAGTGGAATTACATTCAGTGTTAAAAATCACCTAAAGTTGCAAACATACATTTTACTAGTACTATTACAGGTAAGTGAAATAAAGTAATTGAAGAAATTCATCTAAAACCTTAATCATCTGAATAATTTAGCCTCATGCCAAATAATGCAACTAATTATAAAATACATAATGATCTGGAGTTATACATAATGTGTTTTAGTTATGACTCATTAAACATTTTATAACTAAAAATTCTATCTCTCTTCCTTCCCTTTAGACGACTGACCCATAGATCTGGTTTTGCTAGCAACATGGCAAGTTTCTAAACTCGGCACTAATTCTATTGGTGGAATCAATCAATTTGAACCAACACAGATGGACAGCATTTAATACCGAATTTAACCCGTTATTTCTTCCATGTTGACGTGGATGGTGGCGCGTAAGACTTTTTCTCACATCACTTATGTTTCAGTCTTAACATTTTATCTTTTTTAAAATAAACGATTCATGACTAATTTTTATAATTTGTTTAATTGATTTTTTTCATGATGTTTATTAATAGATATTAGTGCAAAAAAATATTCAAGAAACAAGTCAAAAAAGTTCAAAAATACAAATATAAATATATTATAGCACTAAACTTGAAATAAATAGTTCAATCAGACTAAGTTCTAAAAAGTAGAAAAATACTGTTATCATAAAAAATTCAAATGAAATAAAATGTTCAGTCAGCCAAAGAATTTTCTTGAGGGTGCATTACAATTAAAGACAGTATGATTACATTGAAAGGCACAGGGCAGCTCGTTGTGTGAGCACTGACTTTCAAAGCTCAAGGTCCGAGCTGATGACATAACTTTTCATCAGCCTTGGATCGACCCTACGGCATGCTCAGCCTCTATAAAGTGGCTACTCTTAATTAAGGAAGAAAACCTGACGATTGAGCGTGATCTCTTTCCAAGCACCTCTCTGCACAATCGTTGACCTTGTAACGGTACTTCCTCACATAGTACTGACCCCAAGACCCTTCATGGATTGTTAAGAGATACAGTGTTGTTGTTTTTAAAGATTGCATTGTACTGTGCTCTGGCGGTGTTTTGTTGAAGAAAATCGATGGAATTTCTTTTTTGTTCTTTTGCTGTGTTCCAACGAATATTGTTTCTTTTGTAGTGGTTTTTCGCCTAGCTGCACAGGAAAAAGATCCTGCCTCTCCAAACCTACGTTTTCCAAGTTCGGCTATGTTTTTACCTTGAGAAAGGAACATTTTGGTAATTATAAACACTGTCGCACGGGAGAAAAACTCAGAAATCGTATATTTTGATCAACAGTTGTGCATGAGAGAATGTGTCTTAAGAAGAGAATAAGGGCTGAAGACTGATTAGTGGATGGTAGAGTGAAATTCTCACACTGTGATCGATGACTGATTAATAAACAACCTGTTTGATTCAAGGGAGAGGTCACTCCTGGATGGTAAAAATCAGAACCATAAGTTTTTTTTTTAAAATACAATTTTTTTCAGCAATGAACTTCAGCTCGTTTCTTGAGGTCTTTGTGTAATTTATATATTATCAGTCAGCATTTTAAAAGCAAATTAAAATTTCAATATAGGATAAGTCATTAGTAATATTAATGACAAAAATATAATTAACCTAAAGTCATATTTACACTTTGTTTTTCTTTATTAATTTATTCTAAATTTAACATTTCAGATGTGTAGCTAACAGCTGTTTTTAATAAAAATATAAATTAGATTTTCTTTTGGTCTGTAAAATTTAGAATTTTTTTAGTTTCCCTTAGATTTTGTTTTCCTATAAAATGGTATTCTTAATTCCTTTAATATATGATTAACAGATATGAAATGAAAGGGGTTCTGATAGACTAGGAAATTCCTATCTACTACATTGTTGATTTTAAAAACAGAAATAGCAACATTGAGGTTATAACTGTTTTTCTTCTCTACCTAACTTTTTCAGCTATGCAGGTTTTTTCCCTGGTCCAGGGGAGATGTTGGGGAAATTTTGATGTTTATTAAACTCACTTTGAGGCATACACTTCAAGTATGAATATAAATCACTAATTTGTGGTTGACAATTTCTTAAAGAATCAAGGCTTCTTATTGCTGATTTTTTTTAATAACACTATCCTGCTACAAACATGAAAAGCAATGCTGTATAAATATATTTTTAGCTATTTCCTTTCTTCTATAACATTGCTATTCCTTGCATGTTATTACATTTGCAAAATTAAATGAAATTTCTAAACTAAATTGAAACTTATATAATTATTTTTAAGCTTTAGGAAACTAAAAATATATAATGTAGAATAAAATTGGATTAGTGGTAAAACATAAAATATTCTTGTTTGAAAGGCTCTCAATATGTATATAACTACTCAATATATATGTAATACGGATTCAACTAAATACATTTATGGAGAAATGTAATTATTTGACTAAGTTGGTAAGTGGTAAGTTGTTTAATGCACATGCCGCACCAGAATTTTAGAATTGGGAGTCAATTTTATACCACTATAAATTTTATAATTTATGGTAATAGTCGAAAGTAAAAATCATTCCATCTGTTATATAAAAATTCTAGAAGCCTTAAGAGTTATAAAAAATAAATGAGTATTCTCAAATTACAAATTTAATTATTTTCTGTTTCTTCTGGGTCAAGATTGTATGAAATAGTATTTTCTATTTGTTTTAACTGAAGGCTAAGTAGAGGGAAATCTTTTTTTAATTTGTCAATTATACTGAGTAGAATATTTTTAATTTTAATAGTAGATTCTTCCTTGGCAGCCAGGTTTTCTTCAGTTTTTCCTAAAACTCTATATCTTCCATTTTTTAATTCTTCCAACAATTTGGCCTTCCTTTGCCTCATCACAGTCATCTCAAGTGTCTATAAACAAGGAAAACAAATTATTTTCCTGAACAATATTAAGATTTAAATGACCAAGTTGAAACAAATATTAAAATTATCTTTGATGTTAGTTATATTACTTCGGTAAAATGAGGATAATAACCCACAGGAATCAATGAACATACCCAAGTTAATTATTGACTAGAAGATTAATATAACTTCTCTGGGATTAAGTGAATACCATTCTTCCTGTATCACTCAGTGATAATAAAATTTATCCATGTATTTATGTTGTTTCGAGGTCAGCGCTGCCCCATCTTAAGGTCACTCGCTGTATTAATATTCTATGCTATCTACTTTTTATTTACCTCTCCTTATTTTATTTATTACATATCAAAATCATTTTTTATTACAACATAGTGACAACCACATTAAGTGCTAAACATAAAATTATTTGTAAGACAAAGTAAGCCGCATACTTCTTATTTTATGAAGTAGATTTTCCATTCAATTTTTATTGCTTACTAAAGCCAAAAAAGCAATGTTCTAAATAACGTATTTAATTTGTTTTTAAGAATATGTCCAATGCCTAGATTAACCTCAGAATCACATGTTATAAGTAAGCTGTATTTACAAGCTTTTGCAGTTTGGCTGTCAATATTGTCGATTATCTTGCCTAAAAGTTCCAGCCGCTTCTTTTCGTCTTGCCAATTTCCTTCTCAAAGACCTCTAGCAGCCCATGCCTTCCTCCACTATCCTGCAATTATCTCTTCCCTTCTCAGGTCGTCCTCTTTTTCGACTTACTATTGGTTGTTAATGAATCAATTAGCACCTCTGGTATTTTTCGTAAATGGCCATATGTTTCTCTATTATATAGGATTGTTGTTTGTTGTACATTCTGTCTAATCATTTTGTTGAGAACACACTGGAGTCTGGAAATGTCACAGCAGCTTCTTCAAAAGTACATCTCCAGTGATAATATTTTCTCTTCTTTTCTATTAAATCATCCACATTTCGGATCTATATAGACTGACACTTCTCGAGAAGGAATGGAAATACCTTTTTTTTTTTTTTTTTGGACACTAACCTGTTTGCTCCGGAACATAGGATTTAGGGCTCCAATTATTCACCTTCTTAACTTAACCTGGGCACCTTTGGGTAGTGTTCGTCAAATGATGAAGAGTTTCCTCATGATCGAATCAGTTTCACAGTATTTCCTTCTTCTGGCAATCCCTCCTCTCAGCAGTGCTATCTTCAACTATTTTACAAGTGATCCTTAACGGTGGAAAGCTCTCACAACAGGTAAGTCAAATTGTTTCTATTGTTTTGTTGAGGCAACTTCACCTAAATGACAAAGCGATACCTTTTCAAGTCAATTATTTGTTGTAGCAGTGAACTCTACCATTTAAAGTGATTTATTTTAAAGATATAGTAACTTTTTTGTTTATTTATTGTTTCCCCAATGAAAAGAATAGAATCTTCCTTTTGCCTTAAATTGACTAACCAGAACGTTATTATAAAAAGTAAAAATATTTTGAGTGGAGCACGATTCTCACCAAGTACAAGAAAAGTTCAGTTTCTCTTTTAGGATCATTGTATTACTTATGTTTTTAATATTGTATAAAATAAATAATTCGTTTATTGACATGAAACAATATTTTTCTCCCTTACCTCTATATAAATAGTTCTTTTCTGAATGCATTTTGGAAAATTGACTTCTATAATCTTATTGATTATGTTGTTACTGTTATTTTTGGCGTTTCAATAGCTAAATGTATCATAAATTGGTTAATTAACAGTTCTGTAAGAATTATAGATTAGAAGAACCAACGAATCTAAAGAAAGGATGGCTTTGTCAATTTGATGAAACGATACTCTTAATGTAGGTACAGTAGCGATACCTTTGCCGGGTTAACTTTTTCCATTATGTCCTTGAAAGAGCTTTCATCTTCAGTTACTCATCTGCCAAAATACTTTTTGCCTTTTTGGTTTAATAATTTTAATTATTATTATTATTAATTATTATAATAAATATTTTTTGGTTTTTTGCCTTATATGACAATAGCATCTTCATTATTAGCTTGTACCTGATGGTCATCAGCATATTGTAGGGTATAAAGGCATTTATTGCCTATCTTAATTCCCATCCCCATACATTTTTTTCTTCCTAAGTTTTAAAACTTCTTCAACCCAAAGATTGAACAGCAGTAGAAGTAAGAAACATCCTTGCTTGAGCCCTTTAGGTGTAGGAAAGTGGTCTCCTAATCCATTTTTGAGTTTTATCCTTACTACAGTACCATTATACAAGCTTGTGGCTTTTGTCTAGCAATTTCTTACTCCTCTCTCCTTTAAGGATTACCACAGTATGTATAATGGTATTCTATCAAAGGCTTTCTGCAGATCAAGGAAAATCGTGTACACCTCGCTATTACAGGCATTTTTCTTTCCTATTAATTGGGTGAGTGTAAATATATGATCAATGCATGACCTATTTGCACGAAAACCAGTTTGTTCTTCATGTATTTTTGCGAAGCATTCTTCTAGTAATCTAGAACTTAATACCCATCTATAAGGACTGCTAATGCTGTTAGTAACTAATATTTCTATAATTAGATCATTCCTCTGTCACGGTTCTGTTTTTCTATACATACTGTCATATCAACAAAGTAATTTTTAAGTTCTTTTTGTACATATCAAAATAAATTTTGTCGTGTGTACCTACTAATTATGTAAAAAAAAAAAAAATTACATGTAGTCTCAACACTTTCAATCTCAAATAGGAAAACTATTGATATAGCGGAATATCAATATTTTTTACTGTTGGAAACCAGTATTTGTAAAGAAAATATGTCTAAAAGGGAAAACATCCCTTCACTAGTGAGCTGATGAAAATAATAATATTTTAAATTAAAAACAACAACACCTAAGGAGTTGTTGGCTTAGTTAATTTTTGTCTAATTTAGTTATAAATTTACATCCATTACATCAAAGATTAAAAATAACAATATATTTGAAAACTATGGATACAATATATATATATTCAGTATTTAACAACTTGTTTCAATTTAATGATAAGTAATGAGGCACCGTGTATTTTATTTTGATTTGTAATGGACAAAAGTTGTATAAGAAAATGAATTTAGACAACATTTAAGAAAATGAAATGTAGACAACATTGAATATTATTATAGTGATTGTAGGCATTTAATATTAATACAGTGAGTGACTGAACATGGGATTGGGTAATGCTGATGCCAAAATGTCATGAATTCAACACTTATGAATATTCTCGTTAAAATGTGATGTAGGAAGAATTGTACTCACTTAATCCCAAAGTTACTCTTAACATCATCATTATTAGCCCCCTTTATTTCCTTAGCCATTTTATGTGTTTTTATCTGCTTAATTATTAGTAATAATAAATCAGAAATTTATTATTGGAACATTTTTTATAATTTAACTTACAAAATTAACATATAATTTAAATTTTACTAAGATTAAATTAATTTAGTAAACAAATTCGTTTCTACAATTTAAAAACTTTCTTTTCTTACACTGTGACAGTGAATTTGGCCTTCCTTTATTTGGTGCTCCAATCGTTCCAGACTGTGTGACAAATATTTTACATTCATCTTCCAAAATTCAGCTTCACCTGATATAAATCTTCTGTGTTCTAAACAAGTAAGTTTTTCCTTCCGAAGTTGTCTTGATTCCTACAAAGATTTCATATATATCTGTATTATATTTGTTTTGCAAATGCACTTGTTTTTTTAAATTAATTTGTAAATAAGGAGACTGTTTTAACGAAATTCTACTAAGGTCTTATTGTTCCCTCATTTTGGTTTAGACCTCCACTAAGTCCTGTGGGCCATGGTTTGCGATGAAAAAAATATCTTGTTCTATAAACGACGCTTCTGCTGTGAAATGAGCTTCCTACAAATCATTTCACAGCAGAAAATAACTCATACAATAAATGTTGTGGTAAGCTCGTGTTTGAATGATTTACTAAATATCATATTTTTTTAAATTTTACCTTGTCACAGAAACTATTGTGGGCTGTAGTTTGGACACCCCTGGTTTAGACAAAAGACAAAACGTGATGTAATTATTTTTGTAAATTAAATAGAATTTTAAAATCAGTTTAACTACTGATGTTTTACTTTTGAGCATTTTTTTCCAAATCTAATTCATCTCTCAGTTGGGAGAGATGTGTAGGTACATAAAACCTTAAAAACATGACAAAAATGGCTGGGGAGGAGGGGAAAAAAAATTAGACCTCCAAAAAAGACACTTGTCTGATACCATCTAATTCACATACTTAATTTGGAAAGGTGCACAAAACCTTAAAAATGGCATATGCCAGTTATAAAAGTTGAGAATCCCAAAAGGCACTACTCTTACACCAACTCATCTCCAAGAAAAACACATTTTATAAAACAATATTTTAAATATTACAAATTCATGCTATACTAAGTTTAAACTAACATTTTGTTTTTTTCCGCCAATTCTCCGATATTAACAAATATATACATTTATTCATTGCTAAAAATGGCCATCAAGATTTTTCGGCAAATCCTATTCTGGTCAATACACTTTTTTAAAGAAATGTGTCTATATTTATAGATTTCTTCAAATTTTCACCTAAATTAAATTCTAAGTTGTTAATTTTAAAAAACATTTCAATCTTCTCTATCTAGATTTTTAAAAATGTTGCTTCTTCTTCCGATGCTAATTTTAATTCTTTTTCATATTGCCTGCATCTAAAAAATATATACTGTAATAGTTCTTATATTTAACAAATATAAATAATAATATAATCTCGGAATATCACTACATACTGTTGGGATACTTCCTAAATAAATAAGAATGTTGTTAAATAATAAACAAAATTATAGAAATATTAATATATTAAATTGAACTAATAATTATTTTATCTCAGGTATGCGTTACTTTACAATCAGATCAAAACACTCAGACAAACTAAATAAATAAAATAATAATTTAAAAAAAAAAGTTTAGTTTTTTTGGACAATTAAATTATTGCATTAATATTGGTTTGTTAAGACAATCAATATAATGTACCAAAAACGTTTTTACAGCACTCTAACTAAGCTATTTATGAGTACTGAATAGTGTAGAGGCCTGAAGGCACCTACGCTAGTACCGCTTTTCTGCCATTGTGCATTTTCTATGAAACTGCTTCAAATATTTTAAAAAGTAATCAGTGTTTTAGAAAGAGGAATATATTCTCCAGATGTTTTATTTCGGTACGTTTTGGGTTATTGTAGGCTGTTACATACAAAGACTTGATTTTCAAGAAAAATTTTTGTTAAAAAAATTGACTGTCCTGGTGTTTTTTATTGCCTAAGCCAATTATTTTTTCATGTTTTATTATTCTCTGACTAGCCACCTTTAATAAAAGACCATGACAAAATTAAGCCAAATGCTGATTCCCAGTGACCAAAATACTAACTAAAGTCAGTCGTCAATTCGCCATTTTGGGGCAGTGCGTTCACTTTTTTTTGTGGGAATATTAGCTTTTTTGTAATAAATAGTTACAACGATATGCAATTTATAGGAATGTGGGGAGGGAGTGCACAGTAGGAGGTCTGGCCCACAGACTAAATTAATTTAGTGCAACAAAGGAAGAAACAGTATATATAGAAAAAAGGTTAGCTTGCCTATTCATACTTTACTTTATTTTAAAATCAGTGTTTAATTTTAGTTGTTTAATTTTAGTTTGTCTGAGTGTTTTGATCTAATTGTCAATAACCTATACCTGAGATAAAATAATTATAATTATAAACTAATTAAAGACAAAGTCAGCAGCCCGCCATTTTGGGGCACTGAGTTCACTTTTTTTTGTGGAAATATTGGCTTTTTTGAAATAAATAGTTACAAGGAACACAATAATATGCAATTTATAGGGATGTGGAGAAGGGGAGGGGGTCTGGCCCAACGTGTAATTTGTCTTATAACATTTTCTTATGTTCTGCCAGACACTTTCTTCCAAAATGGTGGTGACACTTTCTTCCACTCAACTCGAGCTGCCTGGGAGATCCTCTCTTGTGACTTCAAACTACTAGTCCTCTTGCCAAATGACAACTTCCAAGATAATACTATTACTAGGTTTTACCCACTGGAGTCTGGATCCCTTCTATTCTCTCTTCACTGCAGCCAAACAACAACTTCTTGCCAAAACAAAATCCTTTGTCCCTCCCCTCTTTGGCATTTTCCGTTTTGGTAAAACTACAGAGCAGCTATTTTATTTTCCCTGAACTGATTAGCTTGCTTTTTGACTGTTCAACATTAATTTATCAAACCATTTTTACCAACTTCCAATTAAGATGTATATTACAATACATATACTCATAAATATATTTTTATAATATCAGATGCTTACTGAAAAGCAAAATGTTAGTTTCAACTTAGTGGCGTTCGAGTTTTCCTACTAATCACGATCATGCTATATTAATATAGATCTCAAAAATAAATTAAGAAATCTTACTCTGCTTAAGGTCCTTAATTTGGCTCTAGTATCTTCCATACGTCTCCATGCTTGAGCTCTTACTGTTATACCACTTGTTTGAGCTCTCTTTTCTCTGGCCTCAGCGGAATCTATAATTGAATCCCGCCTGCTTAAGCACAATTCTAAGTCATTTGTCAATCTCTCTTCTACTTTACGTAGATTTGAAAATCGTATCTATGAATTAAAAAAAAAAAATGAATTCAAACAATACTATTACATACTATTAAAGATTGGATGTAGCTCTTTTTAAAGATAAATTAAAACAAAATAAAATATCACAACAAACAAAGGTTCCTGAATCCAGTAATTGCTTAGGAAATACTATTTCTAAACCAGCTGTCACGTGCTAGGAAGTAGGTAAGAATGAACATATAGAAGGCGGGGTTGTGGTAAAAATACACTATTTTGTTATTTTATGATACTTACAAAAACTTATCAAGTTTCTCATTTTCCTGCATATATAATATTTTGAAACTTTAGAGCTAAATTGTGTTTTTGATTTTTATTACATGACATTGTATATTATGTACATTCAGTGTTGAACTTAGATTTTATTTGCATACTATTAAATTATAATAAATAAATAAATAATGATAAGGAATAAATGAAAAGCAACCCAAATCAATTAGAAACTGTTCACCTGTAAGAGTCTCAAGGCTTTATAGTTTAGATTTTTCCATTTATAGCATGAAATTAAATTTCCTTTATTACATGTACAAAAGTATATATGTAAATTTTGTTATTTATTTCTATTTTAAATTTATACATATATTTTATTGTATAAACAATGGCAAAATTGGGGATAAAGTATTAATTTCATTATACTCGTAATTTACAGTCAAGATTCCATTATTTGTGGTTCCAAAACATATGTATTTATTGCATTGTTAGGATAATACATATTTACTTACCAGTTTCAAAACAAAGAGGTATCTAAGTATTTGTAAATAAAAAAATTGCTATTTGGCTGAAAGTTCTTTGACAAATCACTGCTGAATTGCACAAGGCTTGAAAAGAGAAACCTCGGTATGTAGAAAATACATATTTATGTATACATATATATTGGTTTAACTTGTCATTCATTATAATCATTTGGAGTGAATTGCACAAGTCTTTTTCTCCTTTGTTTATGATTTATTATGTCTAATTAAACAAAGATAATTAGTCATTGAAAAAAATTGTTTTGTCAGTTAGTTTGAACCTAAACACTAATAGAAAAAAAATGAAACCTCAAGTCCATTTCTCAAAATAGTTATATAAAATATTGCAGGACAGTTAAACATATTTATTTATATATATTTTTGTTGCTGTATTTATACATTTTCTAGTCCAGTAGATACCACGTACCACTGACCTTGTCATCCGCAGTGAAATTTTCTGTTACAGTCCCGAATTTCAACAAACCAATTGATTCTCAAAAACAATAATAAAATTCAAAGTAATTTCTTAAAATCAACTTCAATTTCAATGAGAGCTGGATTTTAGTTTCCTCTTGGATTAATATGACCTAAAAGTTTTATTTATATGGAAATAAAATTATGTGAATAAAAAATAACATTGGTTTTCAGTTTTATAAAATAACAGGTTCATAGGAGTGTGTCACCCGTGCATGTTTTTACACAAAAGAGTCTACGTGAATTTGGCTATGTATTTAGATCTTATTATATTTCATTTTCAAATATAACAAATAATAATCTCTCAGAAATCAAAGAAATTGCATGCATAACTACAAGATGTTAAATACCTGCTGATCCCTAAAATAAAAACCACTAAAATAAAATACTGATCCTCTATTTACTGCCATCTTTCTAATTTACTTTCCCCCTCTCTATAACTGTTAAACCTATTCCAAATCATGACTTAGAAAATATAGCCACATACTGTTAAACCCTAGATTTAGCAATATGAAAAATTATATATGCAAAGCTTCATTTTAATCAGGGATTTACCTAGTTCTGTCATAAATATTGTTACATGGAAATATATACAGATTTCAACAGAAAAATTATTTTTTTCAAAAACTTGATTAGAAAATAAAATGTATATCTATAGAGAGTAAAACAAAAAATAAATTACTCAAAATGTCACCCTTTTGTCTTGACACAGACATTTAATCTCCATGACCAGTCATCAATAGCAATAGCTACTTCTTGAGAAAAGTGCTCAACTGCTCAGACCAGAAATTGTTTGAGGCTTTCCAAGTTAGGATGTGCTCTGTAACATGCCATCCTCTCCAGTTCAGAGCAAAACTGATAATCTAGTGGGTTGAGATCAGAGCTTTCTGAAGGTGAATCTGAGGCAGAGATGAACTCTGGAGTGGAATCCTGCTGGAAAATCCAATGACTTCCAGCAAATAGAGTATCATTTAGGAGCTTGCCAACAGGTTCCAAAATATCATCCTGATAGTTTTTAGCGGCTGTTTCAACTCCTTTTTCACAAAAATGGAGCTTTGTGGTGCCATCAAAGCAAACTCCCTACCAAAATCATCACTGAGGAAGGGTGATGACCTCTATCCACTCTTCCAATGACTTCCTGCCCTTCTTTGGAGCTGTGTGCGGACACACGATCATTTTGGCGATTACATTTTTGTTTAATTGTAAAAATTTTCTCATCGCTAAACAAAATCTTTTGATGAAGACCATTGGTGTAACGGCCAAGGAGCACTTAGTATCTATCCACTCTAATTTCTTTAGGGTAGTGGCTAGTCTTTGTCTTGTTATTCTTCGAAATGCACCCATCCTAAGGTCACTTTTTATTATGTGAGACATTGATCTGACAGAGATTCTCATTTCTCGAGACATGATTTGTTGTTTTCGAATAGGATTTCTTCTGATTTGAGCAGCCATTGCTCTCACTACATTTGCCACTCTCACAGTGCGGAAATGGCCCGGTCGAGGTCTGTCACATACAGATAGGGTCACATTATGTCTATTTATAATGTGGTACATGAAAATATGGCTGATACCCAAAGGTTTGGAAGTGTTGAAAATCTGTGACCTACATTGTGTAAGGCGATGACAGCTATTCAGTTTTCTTTATCACCCCACTATATGTTAACTGAGCGAAAGAAAAATACAAACTAATTGGGATTATTATCCTGCCATGTAAAGAAAATAACCTGACAGAGGTAAGGATTATCTAAATAATACTCAAGGATGTAAATAAAATTTAACTTATGTTACAGTATTTCTGGCAGAACTAGGTAGTATAATAATATATTCACGGGGGTAAACTTCATTTGAATCGGTCATTAATCAGGTATGTATTTTGATAAAAGTTAAAACTTGCCTCCATTCTGTGAATTTCCTGCTTCATAGCTGCTATTTCTCCTCCTTTTTGTTTTTCTTCCTCAATTTCTTTCCTCAGGTCTATGGCCATTGAATACTTTTTATTCCATTCAAGAAGTTCTCTTTGAAGCATATCTGTAGTTTGAACTTTTTTTTCGTTTTCTTCTTCCAATTCCCACACTTCTTGTTGTAAAGCCATACTTTCTGCCTCTAAATTCTTAATAATAATCATTAAAAAAAAAAATAGACAAACAATCATTTGCAATAATCTTCATTGTAAATCTCTTTAAAAAATACACAAGCATGTTGAAGATCATAACATAACTCTACATCTGAATGGAAGATTCAGGTTAGCAAAGAACATTAATTCAAAATTATTTTATTTTAATGTATGATCTTCTGAATTTCTTTTCTACTGCCTCTGATGACTCAGGGCTCTAATATTCCTTAGTGTTACAATTAATGCAGAACCAGAAAGGAGACTAAAATGTCATATTCTTTAACTGAGTAGCATTGAATACTATATCTGCTTTGTGAACATAGAAGTGTTTAGGGGAGTTCTAAGGACTGGATACTGTAGTAAACATCTAAAAAAATTAAACATAAAACATATTGGCTTGTGCGATTCAGGATAAAATATCTCTGGAAGAGAAGAATTTATTTTCAACATATCTGCTGTCATGAATTTGTGCTCAACAGAAACAATTGGGAAATATCCCATTTAAACAATGTTATGCAGTCAAACCTCTATATACATGAAGATTTCTTGTAAAATAATTGATATAAACAAAGACAAGTAAACCCGAATGAGAACTTGCACAGTGTATATATCTTTCTTATAATACAATCAAGATAGAAGTTATGTTGGAATAAAAAATATAACATTATCAAGTAAGTCTATTCAACATAATACAGTGACTTACATAGACCATTTAGAGGCCTGAAACGGATTTATTTTTGGGACTCCATAACGAATTTTTGAATTAAAACAGTAACCCTTTCTCTTCTTTTAGTTAAATAAAAATTAAAGTACCCTTTTTTGTAGCAAAGTTAAGTTATTCAATTTTTAAAAAGTCCACTATTGTGGAGCTTCACTTATTATAATAATAGACAATTTTTTAACAAAACAAATAACTTTCTCGTCTAATCAAAATGATACACAAACCCATAAAGCCACCAGAATACCCATCCTCTTACCGTCCTATCTCTCTTTTACCCATCATGGGCAAAATCCTGGAAAAACTTATCTTAAAACATCTGTATCCCATCCTAGATTCGATAATAATAATTCCAGATCACCAATTTGGATTCAATAGATCCCACTCCACTATCCAGCTATGCCATCTTGTGGTGGATGTTATCTCCTCTTCATTGAAACACGGAATGTACTGCACGGGAGTCTTTCTCAATGTAGAACAGGCTTTTGATCGAGTCTGGCACCCAGGACTGCTTTACAAACTCCGTAAATTCCTAGATCCTACATACTTTCTCATTATTCGTTCCTACTTAACTGATAGGTACTTCAAAGTAAATCACAATAATGCTTATTCATCCCTCTTTTCCCAATCCGCTGGTGTTCCTCAAGGTAGTATTCTAGGTCCTATCCTTTACACAGTTAATACAGCTGACATCCTAACACTGTCATCAGCACGTATGCCGATGACACATGTATCCTATCAGTTAATAATGATCCAATAATTGCATCCCAAACTCTCCAATCACACATCACAAACCTCGAAGAATGGTGTCAAAATTGAAGGATTAAAATAAATTCCAATTAATCCCATCAAATCACCTTTACCCTTTGTCGTAAACCTATGACTTCCTGTCCTACAGTATCCTTTAATAATACCCTGCTTATCCCTGTTGAACAAATCCTATACCTTGGACTCCACTTGGACAAACGTCTAACTTGGAATCCTCATACCAGGTTTCCTTACAATCCAAAATTCTTTGTAAAATCCTCAATGCTCCTTACTTTGTCACTAATAAAAGCATCCATAAAGACCTTAATGTTCCTTATATTTCCGAATTGGCCCAATCCAGATACTTATCCTTCCATAATAAACTTCAGAACCATCCGAACCCTCTCGTTTCTAACCTTGCTTCCTATTCGATCCCTGATAACCCTCCTAGGCGTCAGAAAAGAAGATGGCCTCGAGATCTTCTATTGTAAATACATTTTTTTTTTTAGAGTGCTACCAGTGGGTAGTTTCTCAACAAATGTTTTCATGTTTTTATTTTCTGTTATCACATTTACTTAATGTATTCTTTCTTAATACAGTTGTGAATATCATAAATAAAAAAATAAAAAAAAGAAGCTATGTCATAAAAATTGTTTTTTTCTCAACTTTTTAAAAATAAGTGATTAACATTTTTTTTAAATTGTCCAGTTTTGTTACATTTGACTTAATCCTTGTGGGGGCCTGGCTATGACTTATCAAATGGGTAATGATATTGGATAGAGAGAAATAAGGATGTGCAGGTTCAAAACATTCAATAAAGTCCTAATGAGTAAAAAAAATTGCACACCCTGTTTATCTGTGATGAAGGCTAAACAAACAAAATCTGTCTTGAATTTGCCGGTGAAGTAGTGGGAAAACAGATAAGCACTAGCTCAGTATTTTTTCCCGTAATCCACTCCATTCTTGTTCTTTCTTTTGATTTTTAATGTTTATCAACTGCTTAGAATTAAAATGATCATGTTGCAATGAAAATACAAACAAATTTAGCCAAGAAAGGAGATTATGCACTGCCTTCCACCTTTTACTTTGAACATAGCCCATATTGATTCATGGAATGGACAAGTGCTACTTGACCTGTTACAATGGCTAAAAATGAGAAAATTAGCCACAGAGGGCATGTTTACCCCTTATGCTCATCTGCATAGAATTTATATTCTTGATCAGTATCCTCTTTGCCAAATCGTGGGTACAGATGCAGATTATTTTAACATCTGTATAGCTGTTGCAAGCAACATCTAACAGATGAAAAGGAACCAGAAAAGATATCAAATATTTATTACTTTGTGTAGCACCAAATAGCTAATATGCTATGAGTGGGTGTTAGATAAATATCTTTAAAAAACTCAGAAAAATAATAATAATAAAAGAAGAGATTAACATTTGTGCCAGTATGAAAGATTATAAGTTTATTTAAGGCACTGAACTGGGGAAAATCTGTGTGATCTTCCTTCCACAACCAGAAAATTTAATTTAGATAGACTGCCTAAAATTAAGTTATTTTATCACAAAATAAAATAGAATTGACTGCTGTCTATACACTAGGTCCTACGACTTTTACTAATAAATTTAAGAATAAATTAAAATCTAAAATTGTGTATACCTTTAATAGATTGATAAATGACTCTTCTAATTCTCTAGTATTTTCCTCAGCTTGTTGTCTCATTTTACCTTGTTTTAATTCAGCAACTTGTAGAGCGCAAATCTTACGTCTGTGGTTTTCCAAAGAGTTTAAAACCTGATGAAATTCCCTCTTTTGTTCATTAAGGTTTTTATCCAGTCTTTCAAGAGTACCCTCCATCATTATGACCTCTAATAACATACCAATGAAATAATACGGTCTTATAATATAATATCAAAAATATGTAAATTTTTACTATGTTTTTACATCAGGTAATTTAGTAACAAGATCCATAGTGATTATACTACTGTAATACATTAGTGTGTTTCAATTATCTCAAGTTTCCATTTATGCATCTGAATACAGAAAAGACAATAGAAAATTAAAAAAAAGTCACTGTCCAAAAATATTTCTCATTTGATTTAATTTGGGATTTTTGTTTTCACGAGCGGATGAGAAGAATGGACTCAGAGTTTTGGAAAAAATACAGAATTCCAACTCAACGGCTCAAGACACAAGAATCATTCATGCTAAAGGCGAAGACTTTGCTTGAAGAAAGAGGGCTTTACTGTGAAGAAAGGGAATCATCTATACAGGCACAGTTCCCAATCCACAATCACACAAGCAAGGTAGATCTGCAACTCTTCCATAAGTGGATAAAAAAGAAACATCAGACCATGTTCTAAAAGCAATAGCACTAGAAACTACAGCTCAAAAGTACCCTCCTCAGGATTGGCTTCACATTTATACTGCTGGATCAACTGAATCAGCTGTCAAAAAATGCTGGAGTAGGGGTTTACTCGAGGGAGTTCAGGAGGGAATAGTTCAGTGCTGTGGTGAGTGAGGGTTGTACAAAATTCAAACTATGCAAGACTGAATAGTAGTAGTTATTTTGATACCCTTCGATTTATGATACATCTCAGTGAAATGTTAGAAACCTGTATAAAATTACTATAAAAAAAAGTGTAAAAGTTTACATCGACCTGATAAATAAGTGTAATGAGTCTGTTAGAGATGAATGACAGGAAGTGTTTTTGTCAAGAGATGTCGAATTACATATAAAATCTGCTAATCAAGGATTACATTTTATAAATTTAATTCTTTTAGGTATTATGATCTTTAGGTTTCATCCTAGTACTTAATATATAATTTAAAATTTAACTTATTTTGACAGATTACAAATCTACATCACTTTTAAACTTACATTAATAATAATGTACACAATACACTCATTGCATACTTGCATCAATGGAAGTATTCCATCGGTTTATAAAAGAAAAAGAAAATTACTTAATAGCAGTAAAAAAATCAGAAAATAAATATATATAAGATTGTAAACCAACGGAAAAGAAGGGTTTGTTCTTGTATAACAATGACAATCTTCAGCAGTGAGTCCCTAGGACTGTGCCAAAGGTTATAGAAGGGGCTGATTGTGTTTTGTAGGAGGTACAATTGTGTATTGTGATATTGTTGTCTCATGTACTCACTAAACTTATGTCATAATAACTAGTTCAGCAAACATAAGTTAAATTTCCAATATATTTGTAAGCTGCGAGTTGAGGCTATAAAGTAATGAGACCATTGTTTTTTATGTAAATTAGGCTTGTTATTGAAAACAAAAAGGTACATGAAAATATAATATAACTGTGGAAAGGGCTAAGAGCTACAATTACGCCCTTGACTTCCACCTCTAGATAGAGTCCTCATCTTAGATTCTAATGCAAGTTACTTGTACCCGCCTTAAGGTACTTGTTCAATAGCGGGTAGTGTCCGACTGCCAATGTTGCTAACCTTAACACTGATAACTCTGATAAGCCATTGATAATATCTTCGTATTCATATTTATTGTGTTGATATTATTGAAATTGTGAACAAAAACGAAAAAAAATGTAATAATAAAAAAATACTTTTATTTTACAAGATATGTATTAAATAGACCAAAATATTATACATATATAATTAAAAAACATTGCAACATGTATATAAAAATTAATGAAATAATAAAAATAGGCAAAAAATTGACAAAAATAAATGACATAATAAAAGCTCCGCCAAACATCCATTGTTCAGGTATGACTCTCCCTACATGACTTTTTTTTTTTAGAAAAAAAAATCATGTAGTTCAACAACTTTGCCAGGCCCTCCAATTTTTTTACTTCATCTAAATTATGGGACCACCCATAAATAAATTTTAAAGCCGTTAAAAAAGAAATCCTTGACCACTCTAACCATGTTCCTTTCCTTATAGAAACGGTTTTGTTACAACTACGAAAGCATCTCCATTTAATCTTCCCGTCAAACTTCATTTGATGACCTTCATCACAATATTTCACATCACAATATTCCGGCGTCTTGAAAATATTTGATAGCCTCTTCTTCTGAAGACGGCAATTTCCACAATGTGACAACATCCATAATTAAATAAGACTAACTCACAGCTTACACAAGGAAAAAAAAATAAACAAGGGAATAACTTAGGTTAGAGGAGATAAAGGAGATTACGTGAAATAAGATTAGATAACAAGGGAGGTTTTGATGCTACCTGCTATTGAACAAGTACCGGAATAAACACTAAATCTAGTATTTTACTTATGAGTTTGATTTTTTGTACTTAATTTATTTTACCATGATTTCACTTATTTTTATCAATATGGTATTCGTGGTTTTTAGATTAGTAAAATTGTTGTCCTTGAATTTGGCAGATTGGTAATAATGGCAATAAAAGAATTTATCTCTTAAGCCAATCCAATACAGTTCTAGATCAATTTTGTTATTTAAGAAAACATTTTACTACTTTGTGGCCTAGTTTTCATCTAGTTTTAGATGCATGAAAAAGTCACTGATAAATAAAATATGATAAATAAGAGAAATAAAATGATGTTTCTGGATAAATCGGGGTCACGTAAAGCAATGTGCTAATATGGTTTTTGATAGAAAAGGAAATAAAGAAAGACTCATTATTTTCTTCCTTTTTTTTTTACATCAAGATAACATTAAATGAAATAATTTATTTATGGTTAGAAATAACCATCCTCACAACTACAGACATCTTTTTAAAAGATAAAAAAGATAAATATTTTGTGTCTAGTGAAAAGAAAAAAAAGGGGCTGGGGTAGCCGTACAGGCTAAGGCACTTGCAGTAGGTAATCAATGTTAAGCAACGCCGAGCGTGTTTAGCTCTTGGATGGGTGAACGCCCTATCAGGAATTGTGTGACTGTCCATTAGGGAAAGCCATGCTGCCCGAGATTCCTCCCCTCCCACGGGTATATGAGGCCCATCAACCTACTGGAGGCAAAACTCACACCAACCGGGTGTAGGATTGATGACCCTACCTCGTTTACTTAAATCGGAAATCGGGATGTAGTCAAAGATCTTCATTGTATGTAGCACAAACTGAAAAGAAAAAAAATATACTTGATAATAATATTGATTTTTTAATTACGTTTTCTAAGGAAATTGATCCTTTCTAATTGTTTTTGTCTCTTGTTTGAAGCTCTGAGACAACCTTCTTGAAATTCCAACCAAACTTCTTCCTTTTCTTCGATAGATTGCTCTAACCTTGTAATATTTTCAGACAGCTTCCTCTTTTTTATCACCAGTGGGCTATCAAGATATGTTTTCTGTAACACTGTTCTTAGTTAAACTAAAGAATTTAAAGGGGGAAAAAAATACTATTCTTTTTAGGAAGCAAGAACTTACATTAGCCCAAGATTTCTCAAGATTTTCTAAATTTTTTTTCTTGACAGCCACAGAACTCTTTAACTCATATTCCTTATTTATAAGTTTCATTATATTATTTTCTATTTTTCCATAATTACTATCTAATTGATTAACGTTTGTGTTGGCACTTTCGAGTTCAAGTTCAGTTTCTTTCAAGGAACCTTTGAGAATTTCTAATTCGACCATTTCTTTGGCCAGTTGATTCTCTAATTTATACATTTTCAACTCCTAAAATCAATTTTTATTTATTACATAGTTTGGGAGTGATAAAATTACTGGAAAATTAAAAAAAAAACAAAAAACAATATTATTCACCTTGTTTTTATGCTCTTCCACCATTTTCAAAATTAAGTCATTGACATGAGTCACCATTTTCCCAGCAGTATCCCGATAAATTAACTTCTCCATATATGCTTTTTCCAATCTCATTTTTTCTCCACATGCAAGAGAAATTTGTTTAAGTATATGTTCTTCATCAGCTTTGAGAGCCTCGCTGAGCTATAAAATGAAATTAGAATAATTTAAATATAGCTTATAGCATAAATTATGCATCTATATTCTTTGTTTGTTATGTTATTATTGATTGTATATTTTTTATTCCTCACCAGAAGATTTTTATTTCATTCAAATTATAATCTGATTAACATATAATTATTTTAAAAAATAAATAATTGTAATATAATTGAACATTTTTCAAGCAAACATAATATTTCTTAATAATCATGATGCCAAAATAAAAAGTGCCCTCCCCTCAAAAAATATTAAATCCTGAATCCGCTAATGCTACACAATATGCCATCTTGTCGTAAAGAACACAAGTCAACATTGGTACAGAATATCCACACTGGTGAAGAGTCTACTGGATAAAAAGTAAACAAACAATTAGAATTTCTTTCCAGCCTCAGCCGTCACACAGAACGTTCTTATTAAAAAGCCTGACTTTGAAAATGAATATCTTTTGAACTGATGACTATAGAACTTTCTAGTTTTCACTAATATGTTTTATAATAAATGCAGAATAATAATTTTAAAAACAAAGTAAACCCACATATTCAACATTCTGACTGATAAAAATTCAGTAAACTAAATACTAAAATGGGTGACACAATAGTTTTCAAGATTGAAGCATAAAATTTAGGGTACAAGAGGCACAAGTGTCATTTGTACACATTGTCAATAGAATAAAGCAGTCTAAAATTACCTAACAGCAGGTGATTTTTTAAATTGACAATTTTGTCATTACTATATCTTACCACAAGGTAGACATTTATTTATTCTACATGCACTAACTATAGTTAACAGCACTTTACTTTATTTCTGAAAAAGTCACTTGTACCCCATGGTTTCTTATTAATTTTCCTCTTTTCTTTTATTTTTGTATCTTGTTTTGATTGGCCTGATGAAGATCTAAAACATCATCATCTATTAAAGTGGCTATTACTATGCTATACACTTCTTTCCTGACTGCACACTAAACATTTGAATGAAAATACCAACTAGTTAACAATTAAAGTAGTTACTTGTTCAGCATTCTTCAGATCAAGATCACCCCCCTTTAGCATCTCATCAAAAGAATTAAGTTCTTCCATAGTCCTGAAACGCTGTTCTTTTAATACTTCTATCTAAAACAAAGAAATTAAAGTATTTATAATCACTCATTCCTTTGTACCATGTATATATAATATATTAATCTCAATTGTTTTTAAAAATCAATGTAATAAAAGCTATTAAAATGACCTACAGAAAAAATAAATAATGATGAATGTAACATTATACCATTTTTTAAATTTTTTTTTATTATAGAGAGCTTAAGACTAGAATTAAGTAAAAGATTGAATCAAATATAAATGGGTTCGTGAATAGTGGAGAAGTGTAATGGTTAATTGCCATGCTCTGTTCTTTCTTTAGTACAACCGTATCTCAGCCGGAGATATGTTCGTCTCTTTGTTACATAGTCATAAAACTTTAAACTAATAAAACCATTAAACCTCAAAAATGTTTACTCCTTAAAAGACACACTACTTTTGGGACACAACGCCAGAATTAAGTGTGTTCAAGAGCCAGATAATTTAATAGTGAGTAAGAAAAATTTGAAAAGGAGTCATGACCCGCAACCAATGACAACTCCTAGGCCAGAGTCACTTCTATGATTGACTAGCCAGGGGACTGGTGACAAAGCTACCAGTGACGGATATCTTTATGGTAGCTGGTCAGCTATCACTGGAACATTTGTCACCTATCTGCTAGCTATATATTTCCAATGTGGTCCTTCTCGTACAGATGATAAAATTCGAGAGATTATTCAACGTGTTCATAGGGCTCAGGTATACACGGGCATTAGATATGGCAATGCTCAATTCATCTTCATTGATTATGTTAGCTCCATATAAGATGGAGTTTAAGTTTTGATCTATAATAAGGAACAGATCAAGTTGGAGATCAGTGAGGAATTTCCGATCGATTGATAAGAAGGAAATGATATTTTGAGGCGCATTGTCACATGTGATAAAACTTGAGTCTACCATTAATCCCCTAATGTTAAAACTATAATTAAGGAGTGGCAAAAGTAGGATGTAAGTTACCCAGTGAAGGAAAAAACTGGTTTCTCAGCTGAAAAATATCTTTTAACTATTTTGTTTTACTAATGATTTTCTTTTTTTAAATCAATAAAATATGTTTTTATTATCCTGGGACTGTTGACCCTTTAGGACAAATTATAGATACAAAAAAATGCCTGCGTGGACATACATAAATTAAATATTTACAAATCTCATTAAAATCAAAATATTGGAAGGAAAAAAAACAACACTAAAAGCATGCAGACATGGGACATATATAGGGCAGACATATATATAAAACAAACATGGGAAAATGAAATATCATAAGTAAGCAAAATCATTTCTGAGGGGACTAAAAAAGTTCTGTTATCTATATTTCGTGATCAAGCGGGTTGGGAAAGGATTAGGTGCTTAAAAAGGAGAGATTTAAATGAGAAAACTGATTTTACATGCCGGATATCGGGAGGGATGGTATTCCAGAAGAAGACAGCTTGAATTATAAAGGATTTGTCAAACGCAGCAGTTCGGTAAGGAGGTGGATAGAGGTCAGAAGTACGGGATCTAGTGGGACGGGATAGAATGGAATATTTAAATTGTAGGCTGTAAAAAATATAGGAAGGTCGCTATGTTCAGATGGCTTGGTATAGAAAGGTAGCAAGGAAGTACATAGGGCGGTTAGATGGATAGAGAGAGCCACTTCAACTTGGTGTAATACTGGGTTATATGCGTATCTCTTGAGATTCCGAAAACAAAACGTATTGCGCAATTTATTAGGTGTTTAAGTTTGGCCTCAAATTCTTCCAAGAGTTCGCCATACAGCAGACAGCCATAGTTGAAGTTGGGGGACACAAGAGAGGAAACCAAGAGTTGACGGGACTTATATGGAAGGAGATAGCAGAGATGGTTAAACTGGTTCAGGCAGGGTAGAGATAGTACGATAGGAAATTTGGGAGATGTGTGGTTTCCAAGAGAGGGTTTGATCAATAGTAACAGGAAGGTTTTCTTCATGATGAGCTATTAGTGAATGGGATTTACTATCAGCAATGGTTACAGTAGCTGAAACCGCCTTCCGAAAAGAAAGACGAGATATTTCAATCATTCTCTACCACAATATCAGGACTCAAACCATAATCTTTACTATGGATAAATTGGAAGAAATGGGCTAGAAACCTCTTGAACATCCTCCTATAATATAATATCTGGATAATATCCAGACTTGTCCTCCTGGGACTATTTTTGTTCACTTGATGGAGAATGATTTGAAAAAAATGAAGAAGTTGCGAAGCACATGAACAATTGGCTGACAACTCATCCTCAAACTTATCTATATACCCAAGCTTCTAAATCAGTGGCAAAAGAGTGTAGATTATGCAAGAAATTATGTTGAGAAATACTGAGAGTATGGTTTGTTATAAAATTAACTAATCAATGCATACAAAAATGTTTATACTTGATTCAACAAAATATTATTTATGGGAACAGCTTTAATTAATTATTTATAGTAAACTATTTGATACTACAGGACCAAACATTTAAGCTCATGATCATAGAAAATCAAACAATTAAATATTATATTTTATTTAATTATTTTTATTTTACTTTTCTAATTACTAAGTTACTAACCTTGTCGATAAGAAATTGAACTTCATCACCACTTTTCCTTTTCTGGCGAGAAAGGGTTTCGTTCTCGGCCATTAATAATCTCAAATTTTTTCTATACCAATTTAAACTTAATATCAATTTTTTCCAATTAGTCTCTGCTTCCCTAAAATATAATAATATTTCAAAAATAAATAATAAGTATATATCACAAAAAATAATTTACTATAATTAACTTTTTGTTTTTATTTGCATTCTATCAAAGCTTAATCATATAAAATTATTACAGCCCCAAAGAACAAGTATTAATTAAATGTTTACAATAGATACATATAATACAATGTTTTTTTTATTCCATGCAACTGCATTGAAAATATGTAAAAATGGCCATTATAAACAATAGAAATAGAAGCTTTGCCAATTGTTTCATAACTTTTATTGTTTTATATAATTTTGATTTTTTTAATATTTTATATCAGTTATTTTAAGCATTAGACTTATATTGGGTTATTTACTACACAAGACATTTTAATAAGAAATTTTAAAAATGAATAATTCCAGAGACGATAAGAAGAAATGGTGGAAGAAGCAATGTCTCATTAGTGGCTCAACGTTCTGGCTGTAAAACAATTGACATAATTCCACTTGGATTCTCTAACTCCTTTATACTGAATAGATAAGTCTCCAAAGAGAAAATATTACCAACAAGCAAAGACAATGGAAGATATATACTTAACCTGTCTACCCTTATTAGCTCATGTTTATTTATTAATGCAAACCTCTTAGTTCCATGCCATATCACACAATCCTCCTAATACACATAGGTAATGAAGCATTGAATAAAATATTAAAATAAGGTCAGCCTTTGTCTGTTTCCGCTCGTTATGGTTGACTTCCAGTAGTAGTGGCTCCTCTTCTTATAAGGTTAAGGTGATCCGAGTCCACTGCTGTTTTCAAACTATACACAAAATCCTTATATAAGAGGTAGCTTTAAAGATAGTTCATTGAAGTTAGAACTGAACAAACTTCATCTCAAAGAGAATGCAGATTTCGGTTAGTCTTAACAGCCTGGTTCTCAATGTATCAAAGACAGTGCAGTTCATAATGACATTCTTAGTCGTCTCAAGTTTTGCATCAGGGAAATCTATATCCTTTTAAAGGCTATGTCATTTAGTACAAAAAGCCCTAGACTGAAGTATTGCAAGACCCCCATGTAGATCTTTCCATAAATCTGTCTTTCCTTCTCTAGTGGAGTATACAATGTCATTTAATATAATTGATGTTAACAAATGAAAAAAAGAAAATTAACTGATGATGTCCATCATTCAAGAAAGGAAACAAAAAATACAGAGATCCAAGATCTCTTCTTCAGGGCTTTATGATACATATATTATTGAAGTATAATAAATCCTTGAATTATATATCTTGGATCTTTCTATTTTTTTTATAGCACTGTACAGTGCTAATGAGTTTGTATTAATGCTACTAGGATAAAGGCAAACAACTTGAAGAACATTGCATGTTGAGCATATACTGCGAGGTAATGCTTATGGGAGAGAAAGCTTTGGCTCTCCAAATAGCTTCACAAAGGTGCCTTGTCATCTAGATTTGTTTCTGCATATGGATTGAATTGAAATAGTTCAATAAACAACAAGACTGAGGTGAGAGGTTTTTTTAGACATTAATCACAGCAACAAAATGACGATTATTACTACTGAGTTCAAAATATTTCTCCTCCATAATATTGATGTGGTACTTGTAAAAGTCGTTGGCAATACAGAGAGTGATGCTTTTTCCTTAAACTATGACATGCGCAGTTAAGATTTGAGTTGTTTACCTATATCTCTGTTTTAAACATATTGACACAAAATTAGTCCCAGATACAGTTCTCTAGATGTCCAGAGCAATGTGTTCAGAGTGGTGTAGGTTTGACTCCCATCTGAGCCAACATCTCATGACAATCCCATCAACCATGCTTTTTAAGTTATAATAATAATGATTGGATTTCAAATAATTAATTTAATAATATTACTAATTCTATATTGATACAAACTGTAATTCCTTCTTTACAGCCAACATTGCAGCATCTCTTGCCTTGATATACTGAAATGCTTTTTGCAATTCTTTAGTTAATAATTCATTAATAAGTAGTAATTCAGCACGATCGACTGAAGCTGAAAGTAATCTTTCACTTAAAACATTGCATTCCTTTGTTTTTGCTTTAGTTCTTCTAATACGGTCTTCTGTTTCCCTTTTTTTGTCTAAAATATTTTTTGTCATTCTCCAGAGAAGCATGTCCTAGAACAAGTTAATGAAAAATATAAAACCTTTATTTTAGATCTATAAATGTATGATGATATTTTGAAAGGAAAATATGTTAAGATTATCTAGGGAATTAAAATGTTGTCTGAAATGATGACTTCCAATTCCAACCTGTGCTTGTTTCTCCTTAGATAATCTCTCTTTGTCTTTTAAATTGAATGACTGTTTCTGTTTTGAAAGAGCTATTTCTTTTTCTTGTTGCTTATCATGTTCAGTCATTTTTTTCACCAGATCATCTAACATTTCTGCTTCCCCTTGGCAATACTCCACTGAAAAATCATGAGATTAAATTAAAATTTGTAATTATTATTTTTTTTTTGGGGGGGGGGGAACAAGGTATTTTACTGTTAATTATAATTTGTCTCAACTTTTATAATGCCACTATGGAAAGGGTTGCTTCCTGCAGTAATACCAATATTTCTGTCATCCCTTGCTGCCGTAAAGTGCTGCAATCCACTAATAGGTCTCCTATTGGTACTTCCAGGTTTTCTGAATCTGGTTAAAGCTTGGATACCACAATCTTGGAGACGCCAACTTTATCAGCGATATTCACTTACCAGTGCCTTTGGCAACCCATTCTCACTATAATATTGCGAACTTCTAATTCAATATGATGTCTTTACTTTGTTAAATAGAATATTATTGGATTAAAATTGGAGAAAATCCTAAGTTACTGTTGGTTTACAAAATGAGTATTCTTTATGTTGACTATCTTATAGTAATAATTTATTACAAATAAAGAATACTTTTGTTTACTTTTTATTTTTACCAACAAATAAGATAATCCCTAATGAACAACAAAAATAGGGTATGTAAATTAAAACGAATAAAATAAGCATCAAATAGAAATGTCTCCATTTATTTTTAGCAGTATAAATATAACAGAGAGGAAATAAAACAAAAGGAGAATAAAACATTTTGGAATTAGGCCACATTTTTTTGTGAGAGTTGTATTGGATGAAATAATTAATAATATAAAGATCAGCATTGGATTCCAGCTAACTTGGACCACACAGATTGAATATCTTTTCTATTATCAGACTTATTAATCAACTTTGATGGAACATTCAGCTGATATAATGCTTCAAAAAGCTCTTTTCAGTAAATACCATCATATGCTGACTCGAAGTCAATGAAGAGATGATGTGTGGGCATGTCGTACTCCTTTTCTCTCTCCAATATAGTTCAGAAACTGAAAGTATGGTCTGATCTGCAGTATGATCTGCCCTGTCTGAATCCACACTGGTAATCACCAATATCCTATCCAATGATTAGGAGAACAAGAAATTGGAAAGAATTTTAAATGTACCACGGAACTAAAAAATTCCTCTATAGTTGGTACATCTAAGCATGCCTCTGTTTTTGTGTATAGAAGAGATTATTGTATTTCTGTAGTCCTCAATTAATATTTCACTTGTCCAGGTGTTCAATAATATTTTGTATAAGTGCTTAACTAATTCCATCAATTCCTGTTTAACATTTGTTCTCCCTTTTCTGTCTTTCACCTAGAATGCCAGTATAAACAGTATAAGTGATAGAAATGGGTAAGTAGTCGACTGATCAATTATAAGGATGAAACCAAATTTGTCAGGAATTTCAATCACAATTTTTTATTATTGGGTCAAAACGTCAGCTAACCCAATAATAACTAATAGTGACTGAAATTCCTGACAATATTTGTTTTATCAGTATAAATGATAGTTCATTTTATAAAGTTTAGTTTTTTTCTTAATCCCTTTCAAGAGAAGCTATTTTCAAACATGTATATAGTTAAATAGTAGATTTTAAATGTTACTTAGCTAGGTTATTTCAGTATTAAAGGAGTATTATCAACCACAGCACAAAGTAAAACCATTTATAATCCATGTTATTCCAGTTTCAGAGATATCATTACATAAAGAAAGAAAACTGCCATTTATTATACGAATAATCAAGAATGTGTAACTATAATATATCAGAATATATAAATATCAACCAACCTTCTGACTTAGTTTTTTCATAAGTTTCCCTCATTTCATCACTATTTTTTCTTTGAGTCTGCATTTGTTCTTCAAGAGTTTTCCTTTGTTGAGCAATCTATGTTAACAGGAAATTAATGGCAATTTTAGTAAACGAAAAGAGAAAAAAAATAAGCATATTTTAATCTATATTTTGTCTCAAAGTTGGGAAAACCTCCAATATGGCCTCTGTACTTTCTGTTTTCATCTTTTACTAAAAAGAAAAACTTTTTGAGAGGGAGATATATATATATATATATATATATATATATATATATATATATATATATATATATATATATATATATATATATATATATATATATATATATATAGAGAGAGAGAGAGAGAGAGAGAGAGAGAGTGAGAAAGAAGAATAGGACTTTATCCTAAAATTAATTATTACCTTTTCAATAGTACTTCTGTAGTTTTCCAAGGTTTCACGTTGTCTCATAATAGATTGCTGTTCTTTATAAGCTAAGTCTGCATCTGCCTTAAGGGAAGTATCTTTCTTTTTATGGTCTCCTCCCTTAATACAAAAAAAAAAATTAGATATAATCTTTTCAGATAATCTTAAATAATTTTTCTTTTTTAATATGAAAATGCAACGATGGTCAATCTGTTTTGGAAGGGAATCAAAACTGGATAAGTTATTTAAGCTGTTTAATACATTTTTATTTTCAAAGATATAAAAATACAATTTGTAAAGGATTATGAAAATCAATTGTTACAATAAGTTGATACTATATACATAAACAAAAGTATTTATGAAAATCTTTAAATATGCCCTTCATTTATATATAATTTGTAAAATATTTATTGAATGAATTGGAATTAATGGACAACTCACAATTTCCAGAATACTGTTTTTCAATTTAGTGATCTGACGAAGAAGATGTTGCTTAAGTACAGATTGGAATTTCTCCAGCATGGGATTGTCCGCTGCCAATAACATTTCTGATTTGGCTATCTCCTTTGCCTCAGCAATTCTACACATTTAAACTGTATCATTACATTTATATCAAGAACAATGATTAGAGAAACAATATCAACTTCAAACTAATATTTTACTAATGATTCTAAATGATATTTTTTCAGAGATTATTGAAGTGAAAATTATTAATTTTTTTCACTATTTTCAATAATGAACCTTCGTGATTGACCAAGAACAACAAATTTTATTCCCCTTAAAATTAGCAGTTTTACATTTCAAGATATGTGGAATCCAAACATTGAATAAAAAAAAATTATTTTTTACATTTAAGTCTACTGTCCATTGATTTCCATTGTTCTCCTCGTAATTTGGCATCTAATCTAAGTCAGAGGTCATTGGTATAATATACCAGGTGAAGAAGTTTTAGGTAAATCATGTATACACTACCTATTCTATACTTGAAGGTGGCCTACATAGTTTGAAAAAATGTAGCCTATTCTAATTTTCTAAAAATTGTCCATTTTGTTATTTTTAAGTCTACATATTCATTATACTCTTCTTAGTAATTATTGCAATGGTTTACTCCAACACACTATAGTGATGAATAATGTTAATAGATTGTCCATCCAATGTCTATGGTACAGATAGAATAGAAAATAACTTTATTCTGGGACAAAGTCCCTTTAGAATAACAAAATAGAACATAATTAAAAGACTACATCTGGCCAAAATAAAACAATAATAAAAAAAGAGAAAGTAAAGGAAATATTAGTTAAACAAGCTATATACAGAGTCAGTTTGATATAACTTAGCATTACTCATGTATTGTACTGCTTCACTCACATAAAACATATAATCAGTAGGTGTAAAGCGAAATTATTGTATAATAGTTACCTTGTAATAAAATTAATCAAATTTATATATATTAAAACCTGTACTATTCTAACTCTTAAGGTTTTTAGGTTCAGAATTTACTAGGGAAGCTTTGTTCTTGACCCCAGGGTTGCCAGGCCAGGTATGTTTTTTCCCCTAAAGTTATCTAAATTTTCTCATAACTTGGCCATCTTAATTTTCCTAAATATTTCACTCTTAATTTTTACTTTTACTTACTTATATATGATATATATAGTAAGGGAAAGTATTATGATTGTGAACATTTTCGAATCTGAATTTTAAACAGAAATACATGGTCTCTTGAGTCCAAATGAACAAGTCCCACAAAATGATCTGTGTGTGCGTAAACCGTCTATTTCAAAAACTAAAAGCTGTATGAAAGTGAAATTGCATATTTAATGTTTGTATATACCTGGGATCTTACAGCCACTTTTTCGTCAAAATTGGCTAACCGGAAGTGACACTTTATACAGAGTGTCCCGTATAGGGAGTCACCTTCTTTTTATAGGAAGCGATAACTTAAAAAATATTTGATTTAAGTAACTAAACAGTATGCACCGCTTGTCGTAAAAGGCGACTTAAGTGACAACTGACCGTTGACCTCTTACCTAATCCTATCCCTCTCCCTTTCCAATAGTCCCTCCCATCCTAATCCTTTTATTCCTTGAATACCTATCCCTTACGGCCTTATGGGTGAGAACGAAAGTTCAGAGGCTAAGGGAATAAAACCTGATAAAAAATCCCTGCCCTTCAGGTTGGAGGTTGGGCATAGGATTAATGCCCCTATCCCGGATAAAGACAATTGTTATGAAATCACATACAAAGAAAAGCCGGACGGATTTATTGGAGCGACCTTGGCGGGTCAAAGGAATTTCGAAATCTTTAATGTTGGTGACGTGAAATGTAAACGGAATGGTCTAAGCTGGAACAAGCAAGAACTTGGAGAAAATGCTGGAGAAGTACACTGTGGATATAGCCGCGCTGCATGAAATGAAATGGGAAAAAACAGAGATAGTGGAGCTTAAGAAGTATACGATCATAAATAGTTGGCAAAAACGAAACTATCTGAGCACAGATTTCATGATGCGGAAAAGTCTGAAGTATTTACTTTTGAACTTTAAAATTGTTAATGAAAGACTATGTGTGATCCGTTTAAAAGGGAGGTTCTTTAATACATCTATAATAAGTGTAAATGCAACAATAGAGGATCACGACAAAGATAATTTTTATGATACCCTCTCCAGAGAATATGATTTGCGGCCTGGACATGATGTAAAAATAATTACGGGATATATGAATGCAAAGGTCGGTAAAGAAGTGGCATTTTGGACCACACAGTAAACACGATGTGTCAAATGACAATGGGCAGAGAATTGCCGATTTCGCCATGGAAAAGGGTATGACAATTAGAAGCACACATTTTCCAAACAAAGATATTCATAAGGAAACTTCGATATCTCCAGATGGGAAGATAAGAAATCAAATTGAGCACGTCCTCATAGATGGTAGGTGTAACTCAGACATCTCGGAAGTGAGAAGTTATCGAGGGGCAGATTTCCATTCTGATCACTTTTATTACTTCGGTTAAGGTACGCTATGGGCAGAAGCTTGCTAGAAGGGCTCGAGGACATGAAGAGAAGTTCACAAGATATAACAGTGAGCTCCTCAAACTGAAAAACTATTCAGACTTAATTTGGGAAAAATGGAATGGAGCCTTGGTGGGCTTACAAGGAAATTATGGAAATGGATGATAGTTGGAGGAGAATTGAAAGCACATTAAGGAGGGCGGCGGAAGAGGTCCTGGGAATGTGACAAGAAGTGAGTGGTTTGATGAGGAGTGTCAGGTGGCATTGAGGGAGAGGAATGAAGATGCAAAGAAATACCAGGCAGACCAAGGAAGTCTATAACACAAAAAGGAGGGCTGCCAAGACTATTTGTAGGAAGAAGAAAATAATGATGGAAAGAAACAAAGTGGAAATGCTACAAACTGAATGGGAAGCAAAGCAGTTCATAAAGTTTTACAAAGGGTTCAGAGAATTTAAGAATGGTTTCCAGCTGAGGATAGGTGTTTATTAAGACGTAGAAGGTAACATGGTGAGAGGAACTGCAGATGTGTTGGATACTTGACGACAATATTTCCAGGAATTTCTGAGAAGAAAATTGCTGAGTAGCGAAGATGATGTGAAGCCCCCTGATTATGAGAAATTCATGGAAGTGGCTGAAACACTAAAACAAAATAAAAGCTTAGGATATCATGGCATTGACGCGGAAATGTTAAAATATGGTGGAGAGGACCTACTAAAGAAAGTATATAACTTGTTGTTGGGGTATGGGTCGAAGAAAAAATGCGAAAGAATGGACGGTAGCTATGATCTGCCCAGATTTAAAAAAAAGGGACAGAACTGAATGCGAAAATTACAGAGGTATATCTTTCCTAGGGGAAGTGTATAAGGCATTTTCCTCACTCCTAAATAAAAACTTATAAGTATGGTCCGAACGTATTCTTGATGAGTATCAATGCGGTTTCAGGTCAAATAGATCTACAATCGACCTAATATTTTCCGTAACAGATGTTAGAAAAATGTAATGAATATAATGTAGACCTTCATCATGTTTTCATCGATTTTAAACATGCTTATGATATTGTCAATAGAAGCGAATTATTGAAAGTAATGGTCACTTAGGTGTACCGGAAAAGTTAGTTAGACTGAAAAGGATGACACTGGCTGATAGTTGCAGTAAACTCAAGATTCAAGGAGCACTATCAGAAAAGTTTGCAGTTGAAAAAGGCCTAAGGCAGGAAGACTACTTGTCCCCAACTCTTACGTAGTACGAGCTATTCGGACAAGCCCTAATGGCACGATATATAACAGGCTGTCACAGCATCTAGCCTACGCAGACGACATGGTAATATCGGCTTGATCAAGAGCATCTTTATTGGGGATGTTCGAGGAGTTCGAAAATGCTACGAAAAAGTTAGGCCTCCGTGTAAACGACGAAAAGATGGTATATATGAAGTCAGCAAGAAACCCACCAGAAATTATGTAAAAATGATTAAATTTGGAAGTCACACTTGCAGGATAGCATCATGTTATGCAAAACAGGCATTAGGCCGGTTGTATCTTATGGCTATGAGATTTAGGTAATTTTCAAAGAAAGTGAAAGAATGTTAAAAGTTTGGGAAAGGAAAATACTCAGAAGAATATATGGATCTGTCTGCGAGAACGGCAACTGAAGAATAAGAAAGAAGGAGGAGCTGAAAGAAATTGTCCAAGAACCAGATCTGGTTTCTTTTGTTAGAAAGAATCAGTTGAGGTGGCTGTGGCATGCAGAGCGGATGCCGGCGAATAGGATACCCAAAAAATTACTGGGTGGTGTCAGAAGGAGAAAGAGTTGGAGGGTCCACGATTAAGATGGTCAAGACGGTATAGAGAGAGTATTGAGAGAGACGGGAGTCGGAGGATGGAGAATACTCGCCCAGGATAGGGAAGAGTGGAGTAGGGTAGTAAAGGAGGCCCAGACCCTTGTAAGGCTGTAATGCCATGGAGTAAGTAAGTAAGTAAGTAACGAAACCTTACTCCATAGTAAACTAGACAAAATTTACTTCAAACGAAACTAGATTTTGTCATTGTTAAAACTATTTAAAGAGGACTATTGGACGGACAAACAGCTAAGTTCCGTTTAAAATAAAAGTCATAAATTATTTGTGATCGTTTTGTATCACTCTTTAACTGTACTACGTTAATCCCACTTTTAGAGAAACTTTCTCGTTTAATAAGCTTTTAAGTCCACATTTATTAAGATGAGGTTTATTATAAAAAAAATTTAGGAATTAGGAATAATAAGGAACTAAGTTAGAGGGAAAAAAAAAATTTTTTTTCTCCACGCCCAGTGGTATAATAAAAGGCCTCTGGTCACAGATGCAAAGTACGCATACAGCGTGCACAGCCCTCTTACCTTAAAATGCCCTTGGGCAATAAAAGGAAATAAAAAAAATTATGTATATATACATTTATATATTGTACTTTGTAATAAAGAAATTCCTGGGGAGTAGGAAAAAATAAAATAAATTTTTTTTAGATTCACCTCAAGTTGTGTACAGAAATTATCTGTTTTTCCATGATATAGAATGTATGGTAACAAACATAATTCCCTAAAAAC